GACCAAAAATTTACTATTTCGAGTTCCTCCGTGCTTCGGAAGGCACGTTAAGCCGTTGGTCCCGGCTGCATCTGCAGTCGTTAGCATCCGCCAATCTGCACTGGGCCCGCGTGGTGGGTCATGGCCCAATCTCCCTATTCCATTCATAGGGAAGGCCTGTGGCCCAGCAATGGGGACAATAGGCTGATGATGATGATGATGAATATGCAGAAATAAAAATAAAGTTAGTAACAATTAGTTCTTCTGACAAGGCTTACATATTTAAGCATCATGCTCTTGGACTATACTGTTAATCTTATGCAAAGAAAGTTTTGACATTTCAGTCTGTCTCAGCCCGTTGTTATTATTTGATGTAGTTAATTAATCACTGATATGCTCACTTAAAGTTCCAAATATTTTTAAGTATCTACATATTTCTACAGGGTCTGCCTTTCAATTTTTTTTTTAATAAAGATCTAACACAAAGAAATTTCGCTGACGCAAATATTTATAAGTTTACAAAATCGCCACCTTCTTGCTTCCCTGAATATCTTACCCTCGCCCGAGCTGACTTTTACTAAATTTATGTCATCGAAATAAGGTATAATGTTATAATATCTTAACTTCTCACAACCTCCTTACCTGTCCAGAAAACAAATGAGCCTAGTTATCGCATAAAATGCGTTTGCATTGCAAGATTTTCAAGACATAAATGTACTTACATATAGTGTGTGACTGTGTGAGTGTGTTTATCCTGATTTATAGATAGTTGACGCATGTATGTATGTTATGGGGTTCTGATGAGAGCCCATTATTCGCAATGAATTGACCGACTCTTCACTCATCACTTGACACTTAAAGGAACCCTAAAATAACGCATCGTTTGGAATGAATAGACTTGCAAAGATGCACGGTCATTTATAAAATAATACCTACTTAGACAAAATAATGAAATACGAATAAAGAGATTTAAATATAATATCCTTTAGAAAATATAACTAGAAAAAATTTCACGCGGAGCAGGCAGCAGACGGGACTATGGTCCGCGTGAAATTTTTTCTAGTTATATTTTCTTTAGATTTAAACATCAAGCAGTAACATGCTTAAAAAATAAAAAATATAACTATAAATTCCTTTTTTATAACGTAGCTGGACATTTTTGTATAAATAGCCATTTTAGTGAGATTGTTAATTTGACATACCTAATATTTGAAATTAAACTTTAGTGAATTTAGAATTAGATAATTATTGATTTTTTATCTGTAATCCCCTTCAGAAAATTATATTTCTTTAAATTTAAAATAATTCAATATTTTAATTTATTTAATTAATTTATAGGCATAATTAAATTCTCATCAAATAAATATTAATTGATTCTCAAAAAATACATTTGGTAACCTAACGTAAATAAATTCAGTGCAATATAATAACCCGTAAAAATCGATTTATTAAGTGATCATACTATCTCTTTGTAGATCATTGAAATATTTCCCATTTTTTTATAAGAGCTGTATTATTTTAGGGTAAATCAATCTGCACAACCTCAGCATACATTTTAGGCCCCTATAGAGCGCTTCGTATTACCTACTTATGCATAACTCAATATTCTATAAATACAAGTAATTTTGACGCGTGTGAATATCTGTGAAAATCATTACGATGATTAAGAAGGTTCTCACGTCCCCTACACGACGGTTTGCTTCAAATACTTCGTCACGGATGAATATTTTGCAACGGGTTAGGTCAAAATATGCGTAATGTCACAAATGTGAATACATACATATTTTTAATGATGATTATTTCAACAAGTTGTAAGGCGATCGTACTAATAAAGTGGTAGCTCATTATAAGGTACATTTGAAGTAATTATTCAAAACTAACTATGTATTCGTACTAACGATGTTACTAAATTATCAGAACTTATCGTCTGCAATATTTAAAATAGGAATTGCCTACTTAGAACTGTAGGTACACTATGGAAAAAGGTTCGATTTGAATAGAAATTTATACACACCTAGGGGAATAATTTATTACCATAATACGAGGTACTTCTGTAGGATTATAATCTATACAGTCCTTACCATTAGGGCACCCCTAGTGCGATGTCGAGGCTTTTAGGCGGATGGCTCTTTCGTTACCTTAGTGGAATAATGAGGATGTGTTTTGTTGGAGAGGCAGAACATTTGTTTCGAGGACGCAACAGGTTCAACAGTTTAAGCGTGAAGAGGTAACAGGCAGACACACTATCCTACATAAATACTAATATCGTTGACGACCTCCGTGGCAGAGTGGTTTGTACGCCGGGTTTCATGGTGTCGATGGTGTCGCCGACTCGAGAGGTCCCGGGTTCAAATCCCGGTGGGGGCAGATGTTTGTGTAATGAACACAAGCACCCCATCCGTTACCCTAGCACCCCATAACACAAGCCTTACAGTGCTTACTTTGGGTTAGGCTAATTGGTGTGTGTTAGAAATATTTATTTATTTATATCATAAGTTTACTATAATAAAGGATAATACATCGTATAAAATTGTTACTATAATCCGCTTTATTTACTTTTCAAACTATACTACTTTTACTACTGCCTAAAGAACTCTGCAGAGTGGCTAAAGATGTATAAGGTCTAACGTTATCATGATGAAAAACCACACCCTTTCTGTTGATTATTTCCTGCCGCTTTATCTCAACTTCTTCCTATAATCTCATCAGTTGTTCGCAGTAGAGTTCACAATCGATGGTCCTGTCTGGCGGTAACAGCTCATAATGAATAATGCCCTTCCAATCCCACCTAACACAAAGCATCACCTTGTTGCAAGTTAACCCAGGTTTCGCCAGAGTCTGTGAAGCCTTTGACGACGATCTTTTTCGCACGTTCTCGTACGTGATCCACTTTTCATCACCAGTTATCAGTTTCTTCAAAAATGATTCGGTTTCATTACGTCGTAAAAAGAATCACAAATGAGTATACGGGCCATTAGATTTCTTTCAGTGAGCTTGTGAGGCACCCAAATATCGAGCTTTTTTGTGTTCCCAGCTTTTTATAAATTTTCCTAACCTGTTTTGTGGTCAATTCCCAGTTATTCAGCTACATCGTTACTACTGATATGCTAATCTTGCTCCACTTTTTACCCGACTGCGTAATACAAGAGTGCGCAGCGCGACGCGCAGACAGGGTATAGTGTTTAACAGTCTACCTATGTATGTATGTTCTTTTGTGGCACACTAGAGACCAAACGCCTGCACCGATTTTGATGATTCATACGACAATTGATTCGTCTTAATTATGCGAGTGCTACTAAAGATATGATTGTGAAATAAAAAAAAGTAAAAATCAAAAACCCAACTGCTTAATTATTGCTTCAAATAAAAACTGGGAAGAAAAAAACAAGTCCAGTAGTCTAATAATTCTGTTAAGTATGGAACAAAGCTACTTTAACAGTCGGGACCCATTATTGAAAAAAAACTCCATTCTTCCATATAGCTTATAACTGTTGCACCAGCTATCTTCGCGTCTGGACTTTATCACCACTTAACCTCAGGTGGGGTAGAGTCATTTGCCTACCTAGCTATAAAAATAAAATATTGATACATAATATTATCATATTAGTATAATTATTTTGAAATACATTAGGGTATTCCAAATTTATTTGTTTGTGAGTCCGACTAGCATTTGGCCAGATTTTTACAGTTGTACGCTTCTGGAATGAATTCATAATTATTCCTTGCAGTATGTAGTGGTCCGCCCAGCAGCTCGTCAGGCTATACAACTGACCTAATTCTACAAATAGCTTTTCGGCCTTAGTGGTTGGGCTCAAAGTTGAAAATCAGAGCAGGATTTCAACATGTTTTAGTAAAGCGATATGTTGTATTGCCTTCACAATTTTTCTTTCTCCTTATTTATTTGTCTACATTTAAGACTGCCCGCCTCCCCGGCAATGTTTTTTCCAAACAAACGTTCTCAACTGATTCCTCCTGGATTTTTATCAGTAAAGAATTGATTTTCATACATAAAATATAATTTTACTTATTCTATGCTCCTATGTCTTCCTTTTTTCGATAACTTGTGTTTGAAAGAAACGAGAAACCCTCAAAAATGACAAAAATAATCATTTTTTTGTCACCACTAAAGACGTCTATAAAAAAATAATTATTATAGTGTGGAGATTCAATAAGCATTTACTCCTTTATTCAATTAGATTTAATTTTAAAAAGCACAACATAGAGGCCTACTGTTACTACTTTTTATTATTCATTGGGTAAAATTTCTTTTACAGATATCTAATTTTTGAGGAGGAAATCATCGAGAGTCAAACCTGGAATTTTGCAATTTTTATACGCAATTTTCAGCGTTAGCTACTGTTGTCAATCACACAGTATTTGCCAAATCGTGACAACAACAGTTTTATCAAATACCTATTTCTAATGTCTCTCAGCTCGCGTCCGCTCTTAAGTACCAGGAACATTAGTGCAACCATGACCAGTGGCGGGGCAAGACCTAAATTTGATGTGGGCAAGACAGATTTCGCGAGGCCCTGTTCGGTGGCGACCTGAAGACGGATTTTATAAAATAATAAAAAAAAAGAAATTCGCTTTTATGCAAAGCATAAAAATTTTTGAGGAGCGAGGCCCCTTGTACCGCGAGGCTGTAGGCGGTGGCCCACGTCGCCCACGCCTTACGCCGCCTCTAACCATGACACTGAGATCGTACTAAGAGAGGAAGAGCACAGCTGATTTTGCGCTCGAATTGGAGCGCACATCTAGGGAAGTAACCTCCACCTTACTGAAGACTACAATAATATAACAGTAAGTTTTGGTGCTGTTGTGTTTATTATTTCTACTGATGAGTGGGATTCCAGGACTCTGAGCAGTAGGGAATTAGGTTCAGCCCGGCATAATGAAGATGGCTGGAGCGGTACTTTCTGCCGCATCATCTATCTTTGCGACTGGACTGCACCCACACCTAACATCAAGTGGGATAATTTCCTGCGTCTCGTATAAAAAAACTACTTAAAGGCTAGTACGAAAAAAATAACGTTTTTTTTAATATATAAAATTTAATCATCGAATTATAAGTAAACTCATCGTTATCGCTAATAACAATAAAATATACAAAATATCATTTTTAATAAATGATTTAGGTATACGTCGTTTCAAATAACACCGATACTATTAAAAATTCATTATCATTCGACTGATTGCAATTAGCACAATTACAATTATTGCCACCATCAATAAAACACAACAACAGATCCATCCAAAAATTATGTAAGCGAAAATACAAAAATATCCAAATTTTGTTACAATCCTAATATTCCGTTACATGACATCTATTGCTAAATACAAATTAAAAGTATTAAATAATAATATTACAATATAAGTATATGAACATGAATCACTTAAACTACATTTTTTAAGTAAACTAAGTATGGTAAGGCATTGCTTAAACATTAAAATAACGAAGAGTGACGATTAAATGATTTATTTTTTGCTTAAAGCGTCAGTTACTCTATAAGCTGCCTATTTTCACTCAATTTTAAGCTCATAGTTATGGAGATTCAAATAAAATTAAAATCTACACAAATATATTTTACGTAACCTTGCATTTAGCACCACTAACTCACAAAGGCAAACAGTTTTATTTATTAGGTGGGTATAACATGCCAAATAATTTGTGGAATACGCATCCAACGCCAATCAGTTTGTTTATCTTATTTTGATCATTATTTTCTTAATTTATATAAAACAATTTTTGTCCTGACTTTTTGTCACCTACTTGACCTAAAGTCGCAAATAATTTGTGCTATAATTAACGTTTACTTCTTTTAGAAATCAGGACATTTTCAATACCCTTTTTGAATATATTTTAATATTATACTTTTACAATATAATTATGTATATAAATAATATAGCAACAAAGCGGTTCCGATATAAAAACAATGATAAGGAATCAGTAGGAAAACAATATTTTATTATTTTAAAACAACAAACAAATGAGCTGTTTTAATAGCTATTGTGACAAATTATTACTTTTCTTTATTCATAACCTTTCAGTCTCAATAAAAAAGTAAGCCCAGATAGCCACACAACAAGTAACAAATAACTATGAATCTTAATAGATTGTAAATCTTATGTCAAGCAATATAAAGCTCAAAATCATTAGAAAAAAATTTACAGTATTGGGCAACTTGATCTGTGGCTGTCCGTACCTACTAATTACAGACACTAAGATGTAAATTAAGTTTTAAATGCTCTATTGTTTGCTTAACTAAACTTGAAAACATAGGATCCTAACATCTAGTGACTTAAAAAAAATATAGATTTTTTTTACGTGATCAGAAATGGTCGACTTTAACAGCAACTGTGTTCAGAGTAGTTGTAGCGGGTAAATGAATTTGGTCCCAATCAGTGCTGAGGTGTGCTTCAGTATCTGTGGCTTTAATTGTGAGACCTAGGGAGGGGACGGCGTTGGCGCAATGTGGCAGGCGGAGAGTCACAGGCCTCAAGAAGACCAGGCCTTGGGGACCACACATCACGAGTGGAGATAGCATTGCTTCACCTACATACCGGAAGTTAAATTAAAATATGTGTATGAAATGACACGAGAGTCGGTATTTTAAACAACAAAAAATAGTAATGAAACAAAACATAATAATCAATTGATGTACATCATTGGTCATGGTTACAGAAAATTATTAAAAAATATATAATAATTGAATCTTTATTTTTATTAAAATACCAACTCGTGATAAAACTAAAGTGCAAAAATGTACAACGTGAATATTATTGGATATTAAACATAATGTAGTCAGTAAAAAGGCTGTTGTAGTTTGTAGTACACGTATGTGTGAGATAAAGACTGTCAAAATTTGTTAAGAGCACAATTGTAGCAAAACTTTCTAATTTATTAATGTAATTTAAAGTTTTTTTTTATTGCAGAGAAATAACACGACGACACACAAACACAAATCGCAATTTCAAACGCACATTGTTAGCAAGCAAAGCACATGAAACAAAATGCAGAAAAACACAAGAAGTACTGTAAAGGCAAAGGAGATGGGTGTTTTCAGATAGATAAAGACCGTTTCACAAAATCCTGAACTCAAAAAAAACAAAGACGAATCTCGAAAACAAAAGAAGAAATGTATTGTAACATATCATTAATTAACCGTGAAATAGGTGCAAACAAAAGTAACAGAAAATGATGCACACCACTATGTACAGTGCATTGAATCAAACAATAATTGTTCTGACATACGATCACATAGTTGGCTGTATGAAGCAGAGTCTCCGTCGCCTTCTCTCCTCAATCTCTAAGTACGAGTGTATTGTGTGGTAGAAGCTGTAGTAAATGTAAACATGACTTTAAATACTTTGTTAGTTACCACCAGTTAAATATAAAACAAAAACGTGTTAAACATGACAATGAAAAATGTGACGACATGCGAAAAATAGAAATATGAATGATTATTATTAAATACATTAAACTATATTAATATAAATTTTAGATAAATAAATGTATACTTTTTACAGTCCTATAACCAGATCATGCATAAAATGTACATGTGCGTGCACTAACATTTTTGATATTACAGCTTTCTACATTCCTTTGACAAATATTTGTTTCTGACAAAAATCCCACAATTGGCTGGTATCATTCTTTATTGTGCTCAACCAGCAAATATTAATAGCCAATTAGTAAGTGCAAATCTACGACACTAGATAGCGTGCCTCATTATAAAAGCTTTACCGTTGTCCATATCGATGGGCGGTCCTCCCACTCGCTGACTCAATCTTGGATCTGACACCGTAAAGTAAATCTTTTGCTTGATCCCAGGAGCGATCGCTTTTGGAGGTATTATTAATGAGACACCCCATTGCCTGTCTTCAAGTACCCCACCCTCACTATCAAATATACCCCAAGTAGTATGAGGACCGTCAGGTTGAACTTCATCCGTTTTTACTCCAGACGCGTTCGCGTCAGCATTTATAACTGTATTCTGACAAATAGTGGTCTCGTTTTGGCTATTGGAAGTATTATCTGAATTCTCCTGACTGGTCTCTTGACTTTTTTCTAATATCTGTTCACAAAACGTTACTGTTCTATTCGGTTTCGCCACACGATCTTGTAAATCTTGCGAAGCATATGGAGTACTTTGTGGTTTATTCTCGAAATTCATACTACACTCGGAGGCATAATGCGTTTCTATTGATGTTGAAGATTCGTAAGGAATTGGTGTTGTTGTTGCTTTTAAAGCACTTGAAATATGCTCAGCCTTGCCAAGCAGTCTAGGTGCATATATCGGTTCTCCTTTTAATACATTTGTTTCCAAGTTGAGAGATTTTTCTTTCTCAGCGTCAGTTTTCGATTCAGATAACCTCAGTTTTGAAAAATCTATCTCTTGGAATGTTTCATTTTCCACAGCTGCTTGCGCTTCAGCTTTGGTTTGATATAAAGGTTCACGCCGGGATAAATGATTGGCATCACTTAATTCATAAGGACTACTGCGTGAACTACCAACCTCTTCGTGGTGCACAGGTGCTTGTGGCGCATCTTTCAATTCTTGCTGAGACTCATAAATTACACTTTCCTTCAATTCTCTTTTAGATACATACAAAGGCTCTCTTATTTTAGCCGCATCACTTTCGTTGGCCTCTTTTCTGGACTGGTATATTAAATCTTTTTTTGCTTGATTTCTCTGTTTGATAATTTCTAATTTTTCTTCTAATCGAATACTATAAGTAGAGTCCTTGCTAGCCTGAAAGGCGGCTTTTTGAGACAATATTTCTTGCTTCGACACATATGTGCATTCTGCTGAGGCAGGTCGAATATCCTGTCTGACTTCAGAAATTTCTTGCCTGCTACTATAATGAGTCTCAGAACAACTAGATCTTACTTCTGATCGTGTAGCATATGGTGATTCCGTTTGTGCTAACCGAGCCATCATTTCTGTTCGCGTGGCATAGGGAGGCTCACTCATGCATTTGCTCATCGGAGAAACCCTACTCGAATAATTAACGGGAGGAGTCTGCAATCTCCGTTCAGGCCGTACACCATAAGAATTTTCTGACCAAGATGTACTTGGAGGAGGATCGTATGTTCTTTTGCCATATATCGGTTCTTTTGATGTAAACGAACCATCCATTCTTTGTTTTAATAATTCTTCCTTAGTATTATATGGGGATTCTGAGAACCTCTGTCGTAACATTTCCTCCTTGGTCGAATAAGGACTTTCAGACACCATTCTTTGTCTGAGCATTTGCTCTTTACTCGAATATGGTGATTCACTATAAAGGGATTCCGATTGCTTATTTATTGATTGATTAATATCTTGTTTTATAGTGCCGTAGGGGCTCTCAGATATCAGTTCATTTCTAGTCGCATAGGGATTATCTCTTACGCAATCAGCTCTAGTAGCATACGGACTTTCGCTTACGCATTCAGGTCTGCTAGCATAAGATGTATCCATTAAAGGCATGGCCATAGTCTGACGATTAGCATAAGGATTTTCATAACTAGTGTTAGATGCTTCTGATCTAGTTCCATAAGGGTTTTCACTTGAGGTATCATACAATGAGGCATAAGTTCTCCTTGGCTTTGGAATGGGATCATATATAATATGTTCTTTACTTTGGTATATTGGTTCTGGAGGTAGTGGTTGGGTAGGATGGAATGGTTCATGATTTACTTGCTGTTGTCTTTGGTAAATGGGGTCTATTTTGGTTATCATATTAAAGCTATGTGTCTGCCCATATATACCTCTTCTATTGTATTCTATTAATGAGTTTTGTCTACGTAACAATGGGGTAACTTTCGGTTCTGTTTCTATGTCACACATGGAATTCTGCCTTCGCAGACTCTTTACCACTGGTTTAGCATCATAATCTCTAACTGTACATATAGATCCATTTCTTTCATCGCAAAATGAACTTTGTCGTTTTAGTATAGGTTTCAATATGGGTTTTTCGCAAGACGAGTTGCTTCTCTGCAACATTTGATTTCTAATTTGTGTGTTTCTCATGTGTATACTTAAGTCACTCACATCAGACTTTTCGCGTCTTAACATAGGCATATTGGGTAACTGTCTCTGCTGCAAGTCACTCTCGCAAAGTGACTTTTGTCGAGCGACTTTCTGCGAGTTTTTCGTTTTCGAACGGAACAAATCAAGAACTGCGTTCTTTATGAACGACGGCTTTTTCGATAATTTCTTTTTAGTTTTTGGTGAGAACGACTCGTCGCGCTCCACACTTGAATTCATGGCGTCGGATGAACTGCGGAAACCCACAACCAATTACCCACTTAGTTACTGAACGACTGTTATATACACTGCAGACAGTTCGTGCTTAAATATTTTCATAGTAATTATATTACCTTTAAACAGTCTTCTTTTATTTAGCATATTTTTTAATAAAATAGGTAAGAAATTCAGAATTTAATGAACCGTCTGTAGTGGTTTTTATGATAAATGAAATTATCAAAATGAATTTTGTGATTCTGAAAAAGCATATTGAAGTAATATTAAATAATAATATAATAAAAAATAAAGGGCACAAAAATACAGAAATGAAAGTAGGGAGAAATGTACACATAGACGATAGAGATGATGTTTAATTCAATATGCTTTCCATGAATCAAGTTGCACTAAAATGCAGACACGCACTGCCAATGAACAGTTGTTCTTACGAACAAGTCTAAATACTCTAGTTTACAATAATGTTATTACAATTTACAAACTAACTTCCGAGATATATGTTACAAAATATAATATGTATAAAATTCATAACCATATACAAAACCATACTAAACGTGACCCGTCAAGACATTGTTAGTCGTTTGAGAAGCGATTGGTGTTTGCATGTTAGGGCAAATTGTACAGGGGCCGAATGATAAAGAAACTGATAGAAAAAAAATGGAAATTTGAAAAGGGAACTTTTGGTACTGACTTTTGGGTGCATGCATTACTGAGTTTTCAACATTTACTTTTATCGTTTTTTTTTTCCGTAAAAGTGTACTTTTCCGCTATATTAATGTGGTTTATAGCCTGCATAGTGGTGCGTTGGCTAGTTGTGTACAAAGTTTGAAACTGTTTGACTTACCTCAAGTTGTGCATGTGCTGAGGTTTCCTGTAAAGTTCGAAAGCCGAACCCCTTTGTTCTCTGCTACCAGCTAAATCTGAGGATTTTTAAATACGATATAGCCATAGAAAGTAGATATATCAAGAATCTGTGTCTCTTAAAATTAAGGAAAAATATATACACGTGTCTAAAGAATTTCGATGGAAAGGAATTCTTACCTGATCAAAATCGCTTGTGCACTGACATTATTACAAAGCAAGGGAAACAGTGCATGTAAGTATAATTTATACCATAGACCAGTGGCATGCATTCCATAAAGAAAAAAAACTGTATTGCCTTACTTTAAAACAACAATCAAAAGAATTGGATTTAAAATATGGACACTTGTTTTGAATATTTTCATAAATACCAGAATATTATTGTTAAGTGACAAAGTCTACAGTACATGTAGCAAATTCTTCACTCGAATCCTGATTTCGAAAATATCAGTCATCAACAGAAGGCAACAGTTTACTAGCATTGGATGTAATGTTAATCAGTAGGATAATAGGGGTGATGACGGGGTACAGTAAACGAAATTCTATTTAGTCCGTCAGTAAGATGATCAAAAAATAATGGACACGTATTTTTTCTTTGGGCAATCAACCAAAAAATGACAAAGTTATAGCGAGTCAAAGTTTGGGAGTAAGGGCTCGTGACGTCGCTTTTGAGTGAAAATTGTACTTGTTTAATTGTAAAACGTGACGTCATGCGACTTTTCAAATCAATATATCTCTGCAATGTTTATATTATCTGAAAAAAGAAATACGTGTCCAATACTTTTTGATAATCTACCTGATACACGAAGAAAAAAAAATAGTCATCATCCCTATTATGTAGGATTAAAGAGAACATAATTGGTAAATTGATACAAGACTTTATATATATCATATATTTAACGAATTAGAAATTAAATGGAATACGAACTGCGCTAAAAAGTGATTCCACGCAAACTGCGATCAAGTGGGCGGGGCTATCATAGGATTGGTTGGGATATCCGTTTAACATTCTCTTACCCAATGAATAGATAGCCGAATTAATCTGTGTGTTTCGCGTTACTATTAAAGTTTAGTTGTGCTAGTTTGCAACCATGTTTTAGCCTTTTTAGCCTTTGCTAGTGAGTAATGCTTCCATATAATATCTAATTCGTTGCTTAAATTCACGTGAAATAGCGTGGGTGTTCTTTAAACATGAATTGGAAAGCCTGGTATGATTTCAATTACTGCTGAATAGGATAGTTTGATACAATATTTTTGTATTCACTTACCTATAAGGTGCGGGTTGTGTGGTAGATTGATAGCTCTATGGTGCGACGGGGGCCCGGAGTAAGGTGGCGACTGAGGCGGCATTTGACCACCGTACATGTTTTGCTGCTGTAAAAACAAATAAACTTGTTAATAATTTTCGTTCGTTTAATATGAAGACTGTATTTATTGATATTATAGTGTGGTGTATTTACAAAAGTACTGCGTGTAGATGTCGTTTGCAGGTTAGTGATAATCTCTTTCAAATTAATGATTATAAAAGCATTAATAATAGTCGTATGGAGTGTGTGCAGGTGTGTGTGATGCGAGCGAGCTAGTGACCTGATGGTAGTTAGATGTTGTGGGGGTGGTGCGTGCGAGTGTTGGTGCGAGTACTGCGGGTGTTGTAGTCGTATGGAGTGTGTGCAGGTGTGTGTGATGCGAGCGAGTTAGTGACCTGATGGTAGTTGTTGTGGGGGCGGTGCGCGGGCTGCGAGTGCGAGTGTTGGTGCGAGTACTGCGGGTGTTGTAGTCGTATGGAGTGTGTGCAGGTGTGTGTGATGCGAGCGAGCCAGTGACCTGATGGTAGTTGTTGTGGGGCGGTGCGCGGGCTGCGAGTGCGAGTGTTGGTGCGAGTACTGCGGGTGTTGTAGTCGTATGGAGTGTGTGCTGGTGTGTGTGATGCGAGCGAGCCAGTGACCTGATGGTAGTTGTTGTGGGGCGGTGCGCGGGCTGCGAGTGCGAGTGTTGGTGCGAGTACTGCGGGTGTTGTAGTCGTATGGAGTGTGTGCTGGTGTGTGTGATGCGAGCGAGCCAGTGACCTGATGGTAGTTGTTGTGGGGCGGTGCGCGGGCTGCGAGTGCGAGTGTTGGTGCGAGTACTGCGGGTGTTGTAGTCGTATGGAGTGTGTGCAGGTGTGTGTGATGCGAGCGAGCCAGTGACCTGATGGTAGTTGTTGTGGGGGCGGTGCGCGGGCTGCGAGTGCGAGTGTTGGTGCGAGTACTGCGGATGTTGTAGTCGTATGGAGTGTGTGTAGGTGTGTGTGTGATGCGAGCAAGCCAGTGACCTGATGGTAGTTGTTGTGGGGACGGTGCGCGGGCTGCGAGTGCGAGTGTTGGTGCGAGTACTGCGGGTGTTGTAGTCGTATGGAGTGTGTGAACGTGTGTGTGATGCGAGGGAGCCAGTGACCTGATGATAGTTGTTGTGGGGACGGTGCGCGGGTTGCGAGTGCGAGTGTTGGTGCGAGTACTGCGGGTGTTGTAGTCGTATGGAGTGTGTTAACGTGTGTGTGAAGCGAGTGAGCCAGTGACCTGATGATAGTTGTTGTGGGGACGGTGCGCGGGCTGCGAGTGCGAGTGTTGGTGCGAGTACTGCGGGTGTTGTAGTCGTATGGAGTGTGTGCAGGTGTGTGTGATGCAAGCGAGCCAGTGACCTGATGGTAGTTGTTGTGGGGGCGGTGCGCGGGCTGCGAGTGCGAGTGTTGGTGCGAGTACTGCGGGTGCGGGGGGTAGGCGCCGGGCGGGGGCGCGCGGGGGGGACTCGCCGCTGACGGGTCCATACTCTGTTTTGATCAATAAATTCGTAAGTTAATATTTTTGTTTTGACAAAGCTTTGAGCTAATTCATCTTAGAGCTTAAACAGACTTGCAATTAATTAGTACGTGCGCCCACACTTGCGATAGTTTCATAGAGGTTTAAGTACAAATTTTTAACAAGTGCAACGCGATAATTGCACATAATTTGTATTCTTTATGAATCTTTCACAGCGCGCTCTTTGAACAATAGTTGCACGAAATTCATAGTATTGAAAAGGAGGAATGCATATATATCTGTCTAAATAATTGCAGTTGCAATCGTCTAATTTGTTACGTATTTATAATAGTTGCACGACGACGCGATTATTGCAGAGCAATAAGTTGCAAGTGTGTTCTAGCTCGTAGGCTCAATACAGACAGGCTGCAATTGGACTGAGAAACAATTACAAATCGGTTTAGTAGTCCTCTTGCAGTTGGTTATAATAAGTAAGTTGACCGCGTGGTTTGCAAGCAGTACTAATACAGGTATGTCATCGATTACAATCTGCAACAAACTGGCAGACCAAATACAACTAGCTGTATTTAACCGAACATATTGCAGCAAAACAAATTACCATATGTACAAACTAAATATTTACAATAAAAATATGAGTCATAATTGTCATTAGCAATGCTCCAGCTTAAGAATGAATACATCTTCGCTGTAAAACTGGCTAATGGACCAGCAAATATAAGCAGTGTGAATACACACTTTCCGCAAATTCAGTGCGCAAACTTTTCTTTCTCCTCTAATTAAAGCAAAAACGATATTTCTACCAAAACTTGGCACTTTCTTTTATTATGTTTCTTATTATAATAATATTCGTTCACCCAAAAATAGATTGTGGTTTAGATTCTCTAAGCCTACTCAATGAAAAATTTAATTTGATAGTTTATCTATTTCTTAGGTTTTCACGCACACCACCTATTAAATAAAATAAGTTTTTATAATTCTGACGACGTAGCCTGAAAAGGATGCGAAACGTCAAGAAACAAATAAATTAGTACCCCTAGCACGAACCAATATCGAATTCGTATCGTTTGCGAGTCCGAAATGTCATTGCCAAATGTGTACTGATTTTTAGTTCTCGTTACATACTTTGTGCCGCTGCTGTTCAAGTTTCTATACAAAATTTGACATTGACATTTCGGTTTGCAAACTATTCGAATTTGATAATGGTTCGTGCTAGAGGGACAGTGCATCTATACTGTTGTAACTTGTTTTATTTGATAGTTCATCATTCAAATTAGGTAAAACCTCAAATTGACGAAATGGAATTTCGTTTGAGCTTCGTTATGAAAGTTCGTTTCGGAGAAAGAGAGTAGAACCCCCGTTCCTCGTATAAAATTTTGGGGCATGTACAAAGAATAAGTGCGTTTTATCTACAGTGGAATCCGTTTATAATGACATCGAAGGGAATTGACAAACACGTCATAATAAGCGGACGTCATACAAAGCGTTTTGTGAAAAATAAATGTGAATATGTACTTATGTATTTTAAAAGAGAAACGTAGTGCATATATATATATAGCCACGTGCCGAACGTCGTCAGAAATCAACGAACATTACCGAAGGTGTAAAGAATCATGTCGGTCATTATAACCGGACATAATTTACCAAAAATGGGTGGGCGACATGTCACTGTAAGGGAAGTCATTATATCCGACTTTTTTTACAAATAATCTTATATAAAAACCAAACTTCGTAGTGTAATTACGTCATAATAATCGGTTGGCCAAAATAGGCGGAGTCATAATAAAAGGATTCTACTTTATATAAACTTACCCCGTTCCTGGGATGGTGCGGGTTGTCCGGTGGACGGTAATGCTTCGGTTTGGGCGGCGGCACCGGCTTGTAGGGCGGGACGGGCGCGCCTGTCCGCCCACTGTAATCCGCTTGGGAGGCGGAGTTAGTTCGTCCGCTACTAAAGAAACAATAGGGTATTTGACAAGTTTTAGAAAACGATCCGACGTTATTTACTAATATTAATGGAATTCATAAAAAGTGGATATTTTTAATTCTTTTGTACAATTCTATAAAAACAACTAAATTTAAAATAAAATTTTCAAGTTGCCGCGAAAACGTTTCTCTGGATATTATGGCGTCTCATTAGTGTGTGACGTCACACGACTGTCATTAAAACGTCAAACGATACAATGTAATGTCACTTTTGCCAGAAGTATACTAGCGTGTGGCGTCATTTTAGTCTTGGCCAATCACAGGCGTTTTCGGTCACGTGACCATGGAGCAAAAAATATTTTTTAGAAAAGTTATTTGTTCTTTAAGAATAGTAATATCGCTGCTCATATTCATATTAAATACAGATGCCAACAATTAGTACATTATTTTTCATACTGTCAAATAGCCTATTATCAAGAATTAGACATTTTCCGGAGGCCGGAAGAAGAGCTGTTGGAAGTAGGAAGAAATGGTGGCTGCGCAATGCCCGGGAATGGACCGGACTCACAAGTGCCGCGAAGCTTTTCAACCCCGCCAAAGACCAGGTGAAATATGTGGAGATGACTGCCAGCCTTCACGTGTTGGGTAGGCACTCGAAGAAGCGGTTTTCTATAAAAGTTTAAGCTTTAATATGTTTTGTTCAGCCTAGTCTCCGTAAAGAAGTCCCGTCTGCTGCCTGGTCCGCGTGGTTTTTTTTTCAAGTATTATTTTATTTAGATTTAATTACTTGTTGCTAAGCTAAGAATTATTTTGTTGCTATGTGACCTGTGAAGTCATTACTAGACACTAAAATTCTTCAATAAGACAAATGGTTACTTAGCAGCGAAAATGGTTTCTATAATTTGGTTAAGAATTCTCATTTTTGACAGTTCTTACTTTAATCAATTTTAAGTATGAAATGAAAAATTAACTAATTGCTTAAGCAGAAGTAATTATTTATACTTGTTCATAAAATACGACGGTAAGCCATGAGCAATGCGCATTTATTCATTTCAGTTGCTTGTATTATTCAAATTTGTAACTGTATTTGCGAATAAGGTCACGAATTTTAATGTAATTTTTAATTCTTCTATCTCGGTGCGACCCTGTACTACAGATGTACGTTCTCTACGTCTTTGCTCATGTGCCCAATGTGCCAGTACTGAAAAGAACTGACATTTGTTCAGGGAGGACTTGGGAAGTGCCTCGTAATACAAGATTTTAAATTTATAACTGATGTATTCAATTTCAAATGTTTAATCATGAGTGTCAAGAGTGTAACAATTTTTCTCGCTGTTGATGTTAAGTGAAATTTGAATTCATGTGATTGTGTGATTTTCATTATGTGAAAATTACAATTGCCTAAAGCAAAAAAAAATGTATATATATTTATTTCAAATGTTTAATCATGAGTGTCAAGAGTGTAAGAATGTTTCTCGTTGCTAATGTTAGGTAAGTGAAATCTGACTTCATGTGATTGAGTGATTTACATTTTGTGAAAATTCTAGTTAACAATTTTAACAACAAAGCATACAAATAATAATAATATCGATTCTGGCATGATTATCTAAACCTAAAATTAAATTTGATAACAGTCTATCCTTGTCTTTCTCTGCACTTACATTATAAAAAGGAGAGAATGACGTTTAATTTAGTTTTCAGTTTAAAGAATCATGCCAGAATCCACAGAATACAGAAAGAGGTTAGAAAAGTCTTGTGGGCGGGGCAGGCGCGCCACAGTTATGTGTGAGCAAATGCTCATAACTTTACCAAAACTTTATTCTGATTGCCTCGTTGCTCTCGGGTGTGAGCGCTGATTGGTTCGATTGTTTGATGTCGCAGCGTTTGATTGGCTTTTATCTATTAGGTGGAAGTGTAGTGGCGGCGAGACGGCGACATCGGTTTCCGTACAAACCGTTAAGTGTCTTCACATCTTCTACGTGTTGATACACGTAGTTAACGTACACTCAGTAGTAAATAAGCTGTAGTATAAGTTAATAATATATTGATACCACACTGAACGCTTGTCGTCATTTCTCCCGTGAGTCACCCACACCCCATCACCACACGGTCTTTGATTATAATTATAACCTCTTTCTGTGTTCTGTGCCAGATCGACATCAATATTCACCTATATTTGGCATGGTCGTTACAAGGCACGTTGGGCAGCGAAGGGCCACGCGCGTGCATTGGCGTGTGGGGACTATTCCCGTTCACGGGCGGGGGTCGATTCGACTGCGGACTCCGATAGTTGTCCTGTGACCTGTTTCAAACATTTTAAAAGTAGTATCTTGTCTTTCCGCCAATCCGCACTTGGCCCGCTTGGCGGGTCAAGGCCCAATCTCGCTATTCCATCCATAGGGACGGCCTGTTCCCCAGCAGTGGGGAGATTATTAGGCTGATGATGATGATCTTGTCTTTATACAGCCTATATTGAAAGTGCATATGTATTTGCAGAAACTCGATGGCGCAGAGGAGCTCGATGGCGCAAGTTGTTAACGCGTTCGGCTGCGATCGTTGAAGTGAAGCCATTTTCGCAGTGCTCGGTCATTGGATGGGTGACCAAAAATTTACTATCTCGAGCCACTCCCTGCTTCGGAAGGCACGCTAAGCGTTGGTCCCGGCTGCATCTGCAGTCGTTAGCACCCATCAATCCGCACTGGGCCCGCGTGGTGGGTCATGGCCCAAACACCCTATTCCATCCATAGGGAAGGCCTGTGTCTCAACAGTGGGAACATTAATAAGCTGATGCTGATGTATTTGCACTAGTCTCAAGGTAGCGGTCTCTCATCTTCTTTCTCTTTCTATTAGAGGGACACCTCCGCTTGTAGTAGAGTCTATCTCCCCTACTCTATTCTTATACCTCTATGTAAGCACTATATTAAATTTATTGGGGCTATTAGTTCAGAAAAAGCAACTAGAATTCAAAGATAAAAATGGCAAACACCGATGTTAAACTACGGTACACATAATTTAGTAAATGAATAAATAATATGATTTATACAAACCTATAACTATTTTCCGAGTTTCTGTAGTCGAGCGAGTTGTGTTCGTGAGAGTTGGAATTCCGTTGTGAATTTTGTGTAGCCATAGCTGTGGGATTCGGAGGCGGAGGTGGTTCCATTTTTCTGTGAAGAAACACAAAATTCAGTATGGTTCATGCAATCTATACATCTTCGATACGTCTATACATATTAATAAAATTGCGAGTGCAAAACTTAAAGTTAACGCTGACGAAATCGCGGTCGGCCGCTAGTCTACAATAAGTACGATTAGTTAACAATAGCCATACGTGAAATTACCATATACTTTAAAAATCAAGAGCTACGTCAGATAATAATTTAATTCATATTTCTGGTCGAATAAGCATGTAGATAAACGAGAGAGGACTTGGATGACGCAAGTGATAAGCGCGTTCGTTCTTTGATAGTGGAAGTCAAGCAGCTTTCGCAATGCCCGCTTATCAGATGGGTGATCAAAATCTTTCATCGTTAAGCCGTTGGTCCCAGCCGCACCTGCAATCGTTAGCACCTATCAATGGATCCGCATAGTGGATTTAGGTCTAATCTCCATTGGGAAAACATTTGCCCCAGCAGTGGGAACATTAATAGGCAATGATGAATTGCGCCTATTAATAATAGACTTTTTGTGTGGACTTCGACGTCGTTTAAATTATAAGTTCAATATATCTTAACAATTTAATCAACATATTGTTTTAAACTTTCATGGTCACTAACATTATAGTAATATAAGTTATTTACGGGATTGTTACCATGTTCCTTGTTTTTAGCGAGTTTCCGATATTTCGGCACTGTTTCAAGCGGAGCGGAGTTACTCCGTGATCATGGCGCTTGCAACAGAGCCGAAATATCGGAAACTCGCTAAAAACAAGGTACATTGTAACAACCCCGTAAATAACTTATAATTTAATCAACAATGAAAAAAAGACGAAAAGGACTATCTAAGGCCTGTGCCCTAGCAATGGGGATATTAATAGGCCTAAGGCCTGTGCCCTAGCAGTTGGGATATTAATAGGCTGATGACGATGACAACTCATATATTATATAATCTGACGACCTCCGTGGCCGAATGGTATGTACGCCGGATTTCATGGCATCGCCTACTCAGAATACCCGGGTTCGAATCCCGGTGGGTGCAAGTGTTAGTATGTTGAATACTAGCATTTGTACAATAGTCATGGATGTTCATATCTATATCTGTATGAAAATATACTTATAGGTAGATATGTATCGGTATATGTATTTTATCAGTTACCCTAGTTAACTTACTTTAGGGCTAGGCTTATTAATGCTATTTCATGTGAGAAATATTTATCTAGTGGGGAAAAAGGCTATCTTAGGCCTATGCCCTAGCTGTGGTGGTATTAACAGGCTGATAATAATTATAAATCACTAGCTGTGCCCCGCGGTCTTACCCGCGGTTTATTAGGGATATATTTCCGCAGTAAAACGTAGCCTATGTATTAATCCAGGGTGTCAGCTTACTTCATACCAAATTTTATAAAAATCGCTCCAGCCGTTAGATGTGAAGAAGTAATAAACATACACACTCACAAGCTTTCGCCTTTATAGTATTAGTGTGATAAAATAACGACCTCCGTGGCCGAGTGGTTTGTACACCGGGTTACATGGTGTCTTACAGTGCTTACTTTGAGCTAGGCTAAGTGGTGTGTGTTGGAAATATTTTTTGTTTATTTATTTTAAAAATAAAATTATTACTCACGATGGTGGCGGCGCAACTTTGAGATCGTCTGGTGCGTTCGGTGGAAGCCTGCAAGAGCCCATCGCTGAACCGTTGTTAGAACTACTGTAGTCGTACGATGGCGTACCGTCGTAGGAGCTTTGCTGTACAAATTATAATAATAATAATGAGTTTTTATTGGCTTCAACAATTTACGTGATTTTATTCGAGGAAATAAAACCATAGTCGATAACACTTCCTAACATTATAAATAACTAAAGAAAATCAAGAATCGGGATAATTATTAATCATCGTTTATCATAGAAATTGTATGCGAGTCAGTCTTATAAATAAGTAAGTCTTCCTTAAAAGTTTGGCGTCCTCTGTGCTAGGTCTAAGTTCATTTTATAATCCCTTCCCATAAATACTGCGATAAGATAAATAGTTTCAAATTGAGTCAAAACAGTTGTATTAAGCATCTTCTTATAACCAAGTTATTTTGACTTTGCCTTTGAAAATTCTGACTCACCGGGTTCGAAGGATGTCGATGCCTGTCCAAAGATCCTTGTCCCTGAGTAGATTGTACTATCATGCTGGTGGGCCGCGCGTTGTATGTGGACGCCTCGTCGCTGCCCGCCTCTTTGGGTGGTCCAAACAAGCGCTCTTGTGCACTCGGTCGATTATTCTGTTAGACGATTACCAGAAAATCTTTATTATTCAAAATTAATCACTAAATATATCACAGTAAACCGAGTGGCGTGCAATTGGAGAGACATATGTCCAGCAGTGGACTAGGATAGGCTGTTGATGATGATGATGAATCACTAAATTGTATTGTAAATACTAGATGGGATAGTTAGTTTTTTTTTAGTTTTCGACGAGGTTTGTATTAAATAAAGATTTTGAACAATCCACTAGAATCTATCAGAAAATTAGTATTTTACAAAACAAACAATGTATGATATTTTCTTAGATTTATGAGGTAATTTTCAATTTTTATTTAAGCCGAACTAAGAGAAAGTGCGTAACATGTCAAATTACAATAATTTATCTCAAGTTCTCTGTATAATTTCAACAAAAGAAATCCATTGCTTTATCTTAGTTAGATAATGTTGGGAAGATACCAACATTGTAAATACGTTCAAAAATTCCACACGAGAAATCATCCATTATGTACACCACGCAACATTGGTCATTGCTCATTGGTTTGATTGATTTATTCAACACGACATTCTTAGTTAATGAACCGACTAATTATAACATATGTATTAATCAGCGATAAGTAAGCGACAAGTGTACCCTTAGCACGAACCAATATCGAATTCGAATAGTTTGCGAGTGCGAAATGTTATTGTAAAATGTCTACTGATTTTTAATTCGCGTTACGTAGCTATGGCGCTACTGTTCAAGTTTCCATAAAAAAATTGACAATTACATTTCGGACACGCTAACTATTCGAATTCTATCTCGATACGCGTCAAATGTCAAGAAGTTTAGTTTTTAATTCTCGTTATGTCCGTTGTAGCGCGCTGTTCAAATATCCATACAAACCTTCTTGACATTCGAGATTGAATTTCAACTGTTGGAATCATGCTACCCTTTATATTTGTCATTCGCAAGATATTAAGATACTTCAAACTCAATGGAATTGTATATCTTTAAAAAAAACAGTAACTTTAGACTATCTTTCAATTACTTACAAATAATTAGATTAGACCATTATCCGACTAGTAGCTAAATAGTACACAAAAATCGTATAATTATAATTAAGATTTTATGGGCATAGTCTATTTACTTTCTATAAGTTTCTACACTGTTTATAAGTTTTTACACTGTCTATAAGTTTCTACACTGTCTATAAGTCTCTACAGTGTGGTATGGGTAGGTAGCCAAATGAAATAGTTCAAAACTTTTCCCAACTCACCGGTGAATTACGACTCAGTGAATGTGGAGGTTTATCTGGCTGCGAAGCAGGTAACCACACACCTCCAGTTGGCCTGTTCACAGTACCTCTGGGCTTAGTTTAATTGCTTTATTTTAATTGACCTACTACTATCTAGACTAGAGCCTAAACGCTATTTAGATATCGGTTAACTAATAACCGGAGTAATGTCTATTACAGCGTCGGGTCTATTGTTTTGGCTAACTTGTAAATTTCATCCAACTTCAAAGATGGCAGGGACAAATTTTTCATTTTACTCAACGCCCTTTCAGAGACGGTAACTAGAGTCCTGATTTCACTGTTCTGTGTTAACCACAGGCTTAACATGACATTCACAATTTGGTATCCTGCAAAGACGTAAAGGTTTGTCAGAATTATTTCAAAACTCACCTGTGGATTATGCCTCAATGTATGCGGGGGTCTTCCAGGCGGCGGGGCAGGTAATAACACTCCGCCAGTTGGTCTAGTCACAGTTCCTCTTGGCGGTAACTCCGGCACCGTTCCATACAACGGTGAGTGCGGCGGCGAATGCGTCATACCACCGTGGTAGGGGGGTGCTTCGTGACCGTTGTTCGTGCCGTTAGTGTTCGAGAAACCGTACTTGCTGTCCCCGTAACCTCCCTGCTGTGGATCGAGTGCGTATTTTAGTCTGTGATGTGTGTGGATTATAGTGAATTGGCATTTTGATGTGGTAAAAGTGTTTTTTTTTGTACCTGCGCGAAATTTTATGGAAGTGTTTTTAAAAACGAAAGCGAAAAGTATGGAAGTGTTTTTAAAAACGAGAGTGAAAATAGTGTCTATAACTAACAAAGTGAATCGTGTTAGAATGGAGTGATTTTCATTTGTTTTGTGATCAGCGAAAACATAAAGAATGGTTGTAAGATTCAATGAGTGCTACCTACCGTGTAAGGAGGCGGCACAGCATCGGCCATATGGCCCATGTCGTCGTCTCGGTCCATGTTGTCTTGAGTCGTGGCTATGGACGGGTCCGACGATGACTTGACTAGCCGCGGCGCCGGCGGTGGACTCACTTCCAAATCACTCTCTGGACTCGACGCGTAAGACAATCGGTTCTCCGTACTCGAGGACATTGAGAACAAAAAGTCGTCCGACAGCGGCTCTGGCCTCTGCGCGACGCCATTTTGAGTAAATTCGCCATTTCGTAAGAATCCGCCATTTTGAACGTCGGCCATTTTATTTGCAGCGGCGTCCGGTAGGGTGGGTTATGGAATGGGGTGACAAGACAAGACAAATGAATGATTGCAGATAAAAAAAAACTTTACAGAAAAATAAATCGGGGTTTGGCGTTCTATGATGATTATGGGGTTGGAATTATACACACTTTTAAATCGAACTCCAATACACAAGTAAACCAATCAATCATTTACAAATTATTATTAATACGGTTATGCAAAATTGGATATCGATTTTAGATCAAAGAAAATAAACTCAGTGGTACTTAACACTGATAAATGGTCATATTTACAAAATGAAAACAAACACTTCGAAAAAAAACTTACACACAAATAAACAAACAAGTAAAAGCTACATCTGTAAGCAGATAACAAATATTTACAACATATAGCGGGGCAGTCCAAGCAGTGCAGGTTAATGGTACGCTTATTCTAATTGGTAACTTCGAGTTGCTTTAATTCTAATTTACCTACAACTAGACATACCCTAAATGCTGTTCAGATATCGGTTTGCTAATAACTGGAGTAATGTCTCTTTCAGCTTCGGCTCTGTCGTTTTGACCGCCTTTCTCAAATTCATCCAACTTTAAAGTTGGCAGAGATAAATTTTTCATTTTACTCAAAGCTCTTTCAGACGCGGTAGGCAGAGTCCTGATTTCACTAAACCGTTCCGTGTTAACCACAGGCTTTTCATGACATTTACAATTTGGTATCCGGCAAATTTGACGTAAAGGTTTCTCAGTATTATTTTTAAATAAAGGTTTGGGCATTTCTTTCTGAAGACGCGCTTTCCATTCTGGGACCTCTTTGGCCTTTTCTAAATTTGGATTCGGAAAGAATGCGGAAGCTGGTCGGAACTGATCCGAAGTCGGCACCACTGATGAAGGTCTTTGAATGTTTGGCACGGGCGATTTGGAAGTCCTCTCTAGAACACTGTATGGTCTAAAAGATTGCGGTTGGTGAACGTTGCATTTCGCGAACAACTGCGATAGTTCAGGACTGTTCATGCCTTGCATTTTGAGCTTTGCTCTTTGTTGATAAAGTAGTCTATCGTCGTACGGATAGTTCGCTAGGGTATGTCTGTTTTTAGCGTAAGTATTGGGCACACTGTACAAGTTATTTGGCAAACAATGCGTTAGTGTTTCTGAGTAATAGTATGGCACTACGTGATTTCTGTTAGCGTCATATACTTTGTCATGACGTTTAGAGCTTTTGGTGTTAGTTGCTGGCATACTGTGCGGTGAGCGTATGGTTGGCCTTTGGGGGGATTGGGGATAAAAGTTCATAGGGTAGGATATGGGATACAATGCGGAGTATGGAGAAGGTGGCATAGGAAAGTATATGTCCGACACCATTTCAACGTGCTAAACGTAAGACAAGAAGAAACGAATTGGTTAATACTATGCTTTTAGAACGTGGAATTGGAAGTAGAGACACTTTTTAAGCCCTTATCTATTTAACATATTGAGATCTATTTCCATAGCAAAAAATCGTCAATTTTCAAAAAAAAATAGTTTCTTTCCAAAATTCGTCTTGTCATGAGCAAATAACAAATCATAACATTATGGGGTTCTTAACATTTTCATTGCTCAATGCTTATTTCTTGCTTTACAAAGGTTACTTATTAAAGGGTGTGTCTATACTTTCGCACATGTGTCGTATTAAATGTTCTAACAGAAAATTATTTATGAAGAACAGATTTACCAAATGCACCAATTTAACTTTTCCAAGCGACCACCGCGAAGCATGATGCATATACTGTCTGTTAGTTCTAGAAAATTGTACTTTCTTTAAATTCAAGAGTAATTATATACTAGCTACTTTTATAAGTCCTGAAAATATTATCGTTTTGACTTATTGAAGTTTATAAACATGGTTGTCACTACGGAATCAACCATTTTAATTAAAACAAATCAATTATAAGAGCACCACATACAAATAATTACATAATAAAAACCTTCAATTTTTTAAACTTTTTCAGAGAAACATCTAACTAATGAAAGCAGAATAAACAAATAAACCGACACCAATCACCATATCTATATAAGCACACCACCAATATAACCATTGAAGTTCATTACCGTTAATTTCAACGGCACCAATAGGCCTATTGCCTATTCGCTATCGATTTTTGACAGATGGAAGTGATAGCCACCGAGCTATCTACTGCTTTGTTATAACGACACTAAGATATTTTTTAAAGCACCATTGGATACGCATTTGCTCTTTAGTAATTTTTGCGTTAGTTCTATTACTGAGTTGAGAATTCTCATTTTGACATTTATTACTTTCATCAATTTCTAAAATATAAAATGAAAATGTTGCTCAAGTAATTACTTAAGTAGAAGTTGATGCTTTTACTTGTTTTTAAATTCGACTGTTAATGTCAAAAAAGGTTAGCGAATAGGTCAACAGGACTGCAAATCGGTAGTCAAATACATTTAAATACCAGTGCGCAAGGGCGTCGCCAAGGGGGGGCAGTCCCCCCCCCCCCCCTTTGGCGACTAAAGTGCAAGCAATTGACTTCCTTACCTATTATATTGCCCCATTGCCCGCCCCCCCCTCCACCTAGGTCAAAAGCTGGCGACGCCCTTGCCAGTCTGTCTAGCCTCCAGTAATTGGCTTAGAATAAATCTTACCTTAGTTTCCGACACCCAAAGTTGCTGTTGCTGGGTAATCTGTATTAGATCGACTAGCTTGTTGAACCAAGTGTTCTGGTTGGCCTCGCTCAGGGTTATAGTGTGGGTGAATACGTGACCCCAAACCCTTTCCATGTGTTGGCATTGTTCGAGAAGTTTCTTCGAAGATTTGTGCGCCGATCTGCGAGGATAGGACGCCAGTATATGAAATACGTGTGTTGTGGTATAAGTACTTAGGGATAAGTAATAAGTACTAAGTCGTATAAGTACTAGAAGGTAAACGAATGTAATTCCATTTTTATACAAGGTTTTTTTTTGTTTAAACTTTGTGATTAGTAACAAATTAAATCTAAACTAAGGGATAAATTTACAGCCCTTTTACAACATTTTTTCATTTGTTTACAGTTACATATTTTTTTGTTAGAAGGGCGATAGAAGTGTTGAGGCTGATCGACTTGCTTCCGATTACCAATCATTCATTCATGATTTCCATTCCGTCAACAGAGAGATTGCTAGAAATGATAGAGCGAACGAAGAAGAGAGAATTAGTATTAGGGTTACGGCGGTAATCGTTGTCTACTGAATCCTTTTAAATAGTGAAAGTCTTCATAAAACAAACTTACTTAGGAAGCCCAGCTCTTCGCTGCTTTATAATATGGTTATTGTCCGCCTTCAAAAAGATGTGACTATAGGGTAGAACTGGGCGTACATGAGCCGGTCCACAGTGTTATGCGTGATGTCTAACAGGGCGTGCTTCCCCCGCTCCATTATGATAACGTAATCGTTAAAAACGACTCAACACTTCATAAAACCCAAAAGAAACTTACTTAGGAAGGCCTGCTCTCAGTTGCTTTATAATATGCTTATTGTCCGCCTTCAGGAAGATGACTATAGGGTAGAACTGGGCGTAGTTGAGCCGGTCCACAGCGTTAGGCGTGATGTCCAACAGCGCGTGCTTCCCTCGCTCCATTATAGTCCTGATGCTGGAGAGACGGATAATGCCGGCGGATTTGCTCTTGTTGTCTTCTAGGTTGCTGTCCATTTCTGAATGAATTGAAATAAAAATTCTGAGATGCTGTACAGAAACATAATTAGGAAGTATCGGTCGAGACTAATACACGTGGTAACAATCGGACGATGACGTGCGCTTATTAACGGTGATCCATAATTTGGCATGAAAATTAAGTAACTTTCGCAATGGCCAGTCGTTTATACAGTCAATATTTACTATTCCGAGTTTTTCCTTGCATCGGAAGGCCATTGGTCATTGGTACTCAACCAAGTCAGTTAATTCGTCATTGTGCGGGTGTGGTAACTCATGAGTGGCCTAGTCTAGTTGACACTTTTTGGAAATATGTTATAAATGGTTAATAATTGTTCTATTACATCTAAAAAAAATGTATTGTATTTTTTATGACCTAGAAAGCTATTAAAAAACTTTAATTTGAAAATACGGTTATGAGTGTATTGAGTCAAAGAGTTTTGTCGTTTCTGCTTTCACAAATCCGGCGTCCAACATTAATTTAGTCAACAAAACCAATAAACGGATTTTTTTCTACAAGATGTAAGTTATAGATATATTTTAGTCCAACGGAAGACACCACAGTAGGGAATGCAATCTCGTTCTCGCGAGATCTCGTTCTCGCGAGATCTCGGCTTATTTTAGCGAGATTAATCTCGGCCGAAAAATGAGCGAGATCTCGCGAGCTTAACGAGATTGCACTTGAACATAAATTCGAAGCGCGACAGCGCGCGAAATGTCACGAATTGACACGAAGCTGCGATCTGTTTCGGCGGCGCGGGTGATGGCGGCCTGAGGTAGCGGTCGCGGGACGAGGTCTCGCTCAGATTTTGTTACGTTACGTGCTGCGATTGGTTGAAATGACAGTTGAGCCGGCGGCGTGTGGCGTGCATTTGTTTACTGATTGCGTCCGAGTATTTTTGTGGTTATTTATGTAAACAAAAGTTTTTTATGTGATTTGTGAGTAGAATAACGAACGATGTCAGCGGATATAGTTTATAAAGACTATGTGAGTGTGTCGGAAGTATGGAAACACTTTTTAAGAGCGGAAAATGGGTTGAGTGCTAAGTGCAAACTTTGTAAAAAGATTCTTAAAACCAAAGATCGATCTCCGCGTGGCTTACATGTGCATTTAAAATCGACTCACAAAATTGACACGAAGAATGTGCATTCTTCGTCCTCTGCTTCTACCGTAGAAGAGAGCGAGGTGCAAATTATATCACCACCGCCGTTGCCGCCACCATCATCAAATACTGGGTCGAATGTTAGTCTAGAATCGTCTGCACTAGAGCTACCAGCAAGAAAGAAGAGGCAAAAAATTACTGATCACTTTCTCCCGGTTGAAGATACTTCTATGGAGAAAAAAGTATCAAGAATGGTAGCTAAAGATGGACTACCTTTCCGTGTTTTCTGTACCTCCAAAGATATGAGAGATCTCTTCAATTCTTCGGGACACAAACTGCCTAAGTCCCCAAACACAATTAAACTTATAGTTATGGATTATGGCATGACATTAAAAATGAAAATAAAGCGTGAACTGGCTCAGCTGAAGGAGGATGATCACAAATTTACGCTTACATTTGATGAGTGGACTTCTTCTATGAACAAGCGATACATGAATGTAAATGTACACACATATTTGAAAGGCAAAGCTGTCTTTTGGAACTTGGGGCTGATTCGCGTCTTTGGAAGTATGCCGGCTGAAAATGGTGTCAGTATTTTGAAAACAAAATTAACCGAATTTGGCCTTATTCTGGAGAAAGATATCATCAATATTACTACAGATGGGGCAAGTGTGATGAAAAAGTTGGGTCGATTAATATCACCTTCACATCAGCTCTGCTATGCTCATGGAGTTCAACTTGGCATAATAGATACAATTTATAAAAAACAAACTGATGTTGAGGAAGAGGAACCTGTGACTGTGACAGAATCTGAAAACGACAATGAGGTTTCTTTTGAAATGGATGAAGTATCTAGCACAGACTCAGACGATGACGTTTTTCATTGTTCTATACCCAGAATGGAAGTAGACCTAGTTGCTGAATATGCGGGTATTATTGAGAAAGTTAGGAAACTGGTTAAACTGTTTAAAAGATCACCTACTAAAACTGATACATTGCAAATATATGTAAAGCAAGAATTTGGAAAAGATATAAAGTTGCAACAGGATTGTAAAACTCGATGGTCAAGCCTAGCAGACATGATTTCTACATTTAATAGAATCAAGCTGTGTGTCAGCAAAGCCTTGATCGACCTGGGCCTGGAAGCTGATCCGAACTACTCCTTGAGTGCGGAAGAACATACGGTTTTAGTGAACTTAGATAAGGCATTTCAACCTGTAAAACTGGCTGTGGAGGTATTGTGTCGTCGAGATACTGACTTGGCTATCGCAGAAACAACACTTAGGTTTATGATTCGTAAACTGGAAGAGCTAAAAACTCCATTGGCAGAAAAACTCGCTGGCTCCTTGAGAAAGCGCATTATTGAGCGACGAACGAATTTGACAGCATGCTTGTTATATATCAGAGATCCGGCTAAATACCAAGCAGATAAAGAAGAGTTTGCGAAAGACGGAACCTTTAAATTACCTGCGAAAAACGTGATTCGAACTGAAATTAAATCACTTATAGAGCGCTTGCATTCGCAACACTGTGTTACTAATTCACAGACACAGATAAATTCAGATCCATCATGGTCGATCGCATCAACATCAGCTGCCGCCGCTAGTGATGTTATTGAATTTGATGATGACTATAACGATAATGAACCGCTTTCATCTCTTTCTGAGGCTCGTAAAAATATTTCCTTGGAAGAAGAACTACAAGAAACATTGACTGCGTTCAAAGAACCAAGAGATAGGGACAGAAAGCTTACTACAAACTCACTGGAATCATTAATAAAAAAGGAGATGAATTTATACGAATCCGGGGGGTCAAAAGGCGAACTTTTACAGTTCGCGGATAACTGCCTGAGATCTGTTGTTCCCACGAGCGTAGAATCCGAAAGGGCTTTTTCTGCGGCTGGTTATCTGGCCAGCAAAATAAGAAGCCGTCTAGCAGACGATTCTCTGGACATTTTATGCTTCTTAAGGAGCTACTTCCAAAATCATTCGATATAATGTGATGTGAACTGATCAACTGATTGTCTGAGCCTTTCATTTGATTGGTATATATTTTTAATTGATCTCTAATTTACAATTGATCTCTGTCTGACTGAGTAGAGTAGGCATAGTTTTCTTTATTTGATATCTTAGAAACTTAGTTTAATATTCAACTCATTATTTGTTATTTGTCATTATTTGTTATAAAAGTATTGTTTAATTATTAAAATACTTTTGTTTCATGTAAGAAGAGAAGATTCTTTTTTATTTCGTTTTTTATTTGATTAGATACGTACGTAGTACGTACGTCAAAGTTAACTACTTAAAAGTTTATTACGAAAAATGATAGATATGTCTAAAAATTTTAAATATGACCTAAGTTTATATTAAAAATGCTTCTAAATAAATGTTTATTTCATGATACCTCTAATTCTTCTTCATTTTTTCCTAATTCATCCAAATATCGTAAATATTTGCAAAAATCTCGCGAGATCTCGAAATTGGCGAGATCTCGCGGTATTGTTATCCATAAACTCGCGAGATCTCGTCTGAGCCCCAATCTCGCGAGATTGCATTCCCTACACCACAGTAACACGAAAATGACATTTAGTTGTTTACTAACACATTTACTAACTTGTTGACGTCACAATCATGGTGGACAGCGTTTTGAGTGTTTAAAAAGCATAGACTAAAAAACCATTTCCAAATTAAATTACTAACGCCATCTTCTAATTTTATGAAGTGAAATCGATGTATTTAGGTTCCTCATACCAAACATTATAAGAAATAAACATTTCACAAATTGACATGAGTCAATTAGCCTATTCCATCTATGAGAAAAGCTGATTGTGGCAAACGATCGCCGTCACATCACCTTGATCTCAGAAATATTGTATTACATCCCGCTCATTAATGTTTAACCTGAATTAAACCACTAAGTATATAAAATAATGTAAACTAAACATGGCATTGAATTAAATCGTTATTATTATTATTCCTGGGAAAGGTCAGCGATGGCCCTCAGTACGATGACGGGGGGTATGAACCCTGCCATGCTGTGTGCCAGCACGGCCAGGTGTGGCTGCCACACTAATACAGACACACTCACTGGGCGAAGCGAACTGGTCGGCCGCGTCGGTTCGCAGCCTGTCGCGCGCCAGGTCGGCGATGGCCCCCAGTACGATGACGGGCCGCACGAACCCTGCTTGTTGCAGTACTACGCGCTCGTACGCGGGGAATTTGCTGATGCTGTCTGATAGCACTACTTCGTCCCAGTGCTCCTGTTGAGAAGAAGTTGAGGTGAGTAAGTAAGCCGTAAGATTTACTAAGTCAGAATAGTCCAAATTCAATATAGCGACAGTGGAAAAGCAAAATCGCTTAAACGCCACTTTAACTTTACAGGAACGAGGATCCACGTTTTTTTTCACAAAGAAATCATTACTTATTGTAAATGAGAAGAAACGCCATAAAGATAAAACCATATTCATAGAATAATATTTTCTATATATAACTTCCTATGAAAAAGTTACATTGTGCCTTTACTTTACATATTAGATGTCGATTAAGCGAAAATCACTCGGCCCGCCATATATTTTTTGTCAAGCAAACATCAAATCATACGCCAAATAGTATGGCGTATGCGCCATTGATTCTATATAATAAGGTACTTAAGCGCCAAAAAGTACTCAAATCTTCACGAAATAGAAACAGATCGACGCAGAAAAATAACTGTATATTTAACTCAATTTCGACCAAAGTGGCGTATAAGAAATTTTGGCTTTCCACTGTCGATATGTAGTTTATTTAATTTCGGCTGTTACTAACACTTGTGAAAGTCGGGAAGTTCATCGGTTCAGAAATCTACAGCAGAGACATAATATGAAGAACTGGCAAGAAATTTAACAACAGCTGAATTTTCTATCCCTATATTGTTACATACAAAGTCGTCAAGTTAAAAAAATTACATGAGAGAAATTCATGAAATCACCTTCTTTTACCTATAAGAATGGAAGCTATGCTTCGGACGATATTTGGTTTTAATTCTACAACAAATCATGAAGATATAGACACTGATAAACACTGTGTTTTTGAAATGCTTAAACAATGAACTAACAATTTGAATGTAGGGAATCTATATACCTTATCTACAAAGTCCATAAATCTAAAAGCAAGTCCAATTTAAAGCGTCGTAACTGAATTTCAATCCTTAATCATTACATACTAGTTGACCCCGCGTACTTCGTAGTGTTAAAAAAACTTGGAAGAAATGACGGACCCGAGTCTACTGTACCAAAAGGGCCGAACGTCAAATGTTTGGCAGGAAAGAAGATAGAACAGTTTATATGGGAAAATTAAATTGACGTTTTTACTATCTTCCTCGCAATTTTTCCATATTTTCTCACCTTTTAAACCTTCCCTAGACCTCCACGAACATTTCAAGACTAAGATTAGATAAATCCGTTCAGCCGTTCTCTTGTTTTAGCGAGACTAACGAACAACAATTGATTTTTAGGGTTCCGTACCTCAAAAGGAAAAACGGAACCCTTATAGGATCACTTTGTTGTCCGTCTGTCCGTCCGTCCGTCTGTCAAGACCCTTTTTCTCAGGAACGCGTGGAGGTATGAAGCTGAAATTTATATCAATTACTCAGGTCTACTGTCCCTTGAAGCTGTGAAAAAATCAAACTTCTAAGCCAACGCAATCAAAAGATACAGCCGTTTATGCCGCAAATTTTCGACACTTGCAAGGGAATCAAAACCTACAGGGTGCTTCCCGTGAACTCAGAATCTTGAAATTTGGTACCAAGCAACGTCTTATAGCATAGATAAAGGAAAAATTACGAAAACCATAAATTTTTAGTTACATCACATAATATATTTTTTTTTAATAATTTTAACCTTACTACCCATTTCCTCATAAACGCGTAGAGGTATTAAATTGAAATTCATACCAAATACTCAGGTCTATAATACCTTTAAGCTGTAACAAAATCAAACTTCTATGTCAACGCAATCAAAAGAAACAGCAATTTAAGCTGCATATTTTGAAACTCGCAAGTACTCACAAGGGAATCAAAACCTAAAGGGTACTTCCAGTCGACCTAGAATCTTGAAATTTGGCATGAAGCAACGTTTTATAGCACACATAAAAGAAAAATTCCGAAAACCTTAAATTTTTAGTTACATTACAAAATATATATTTTTTAATAAATATAAACATACCATAGTTATGACTCGATTGTCGTAATGAACGAACTTTGTAAACCTTGCAGGTTTGTACGGAACCCTCGGTGCGCGAGTCCGACTCGCACTTGGCCGGTTTTTATATATATAGAAGGTAATGTTCAAATTGTTCAAGCAACATACCTTGCCAAGACTCTTGCTGCGACGATGAGTGGATCTCCTCCGTCTAAAGAAGTTGTGTTTGACGTCGTTGCCGGACATTTCCTTCTTAGTTGCGTTAAACTGTGCCGTGGCTAATTCTTCTGCCCGCGCTTTGTTAGGAATCGTCCCTTTTTGGACTTCTTGGTTATTGCGACCTGGAAGTAACAGAACATTATAAAAATACTTCCAACACTCACACCAATTAGCCTAGCCCCAAAGTAAGCAATGTAAAGCTTCTGTTATGGGATACTAGGATAACGGATAAATACATATACAGTACATAAATAAGTATATTTATATAGAAATACATATTAAACATCCATGATTGGAGTACAAATGCTCGTATTCATCACACAAACATCTGCCCCCACCGGGATTCGAACCCGGGACCTCTCGAGTCGGCGACACCATGAAACCCGGCGTACATTGTTAGCTTTTACCTCTGTACGTAGCGAAGAATGAAGTATAATGTCGAAGAGACTATCAGTTGGACTTAACATATAAGATTATACGTACAATTGGGTAATAGCAGACAGTACGTAACTGCTACGGAAGTTCCAAGTCTTCCTTAGTAGTTGCGTTACGTTTTCATTGGTATGGTTAATGGTTGTTGTTGGTTGATTTATTTATTTAATCTTTTTTGCCTTTACACTGCAAATGGCGGACTAAATGCCAATATGGCATTCTCTACCAGTATTGATAGGACTGTTGTATCCTCACAATCTGATTATGGAACACGAGTGTTTTAAAGTAATTAATTTAAATAGAAATCAAAAGTTTCACTATTTTGTTTAATTTATAATAAACTAACAGGCTGGGTGTAAACATTTTTATTTGTAATCTAGGAGTTCTGGAAGAATAATTCATTCAAGTATTTGGAACTAAAAACATCGAATCTTTTTAGTTTGGCTTTGCCTTCAAACTTTTAATACTCTAGTCGATACAAATGTCGACTTCCTTATCAGAAAAGCAAGAGCGCCTTCTATCTTGTCTTGGCTACCTATCTTACATTGAAGTAAGTTTAGAACAATTTTAAACTATAGTTTAGTGGTAGTAGTAGTGAGGTCATAAGCACACTGTTTTTTTATCGTATTTAAAGTACTTTATACGTACCTATCCTATAGACTTGCCAAGCGCCCACAGTTCCGTTGTGTAACGTGTCTACCACGTGGAAGACGTCGCCGCAGCGGAAAGACATCTCGCCGTCCGTCGGCTCCGTGTAGTGGAAATGGGTTTTTACGTGGAACGAATCTCCCGCTGAAACAAATATGAATAATTAATAACTAGAAAAAATTACGGCTATAACTGAGTTAGGCATCAACTCTCCGAAAGTCAAGTAATTGTCGACATCACTGGAGACCGAAGAGCTGGCAGCTACCTCGGACAAAGAATTAGTTTAGCTATTCAAAGGGGGAACGCTGCCACTCTGCTGTTGCTGCTGTCTTCGGAACCTTGCCTAAAGGGACTCCTTTTAATCATATATTTTAGTTATTATATTATATTTTTAAGGTTTTTTATAGTTTTAGGTTCATTGTCAATTATGTTTTTTTAATCCATAAGTTTTTATAATTTAAATTATTATTAATAGTTTGTATTTATAAGTTAAATTAAAGTTTATGTGGTAACTCTTCGCGACACAAAACTAAATTAAGAACACATCATTTTGACAAGCATTAAATTTAATTTGACGTCCTTGGGTATCTATAATAAACATTCAACTTTTCAAACACGTTGAGGGGATTGAGGTGATTGTGTCGAGTGTGCTCAAATGATTTTCCAAATTACATTATCGTAATTGTAAAGCCGGATCTCCAGCGCGTGTTTTGCAGACAAAACACGCAAAAACATATTAACATTCAACAATACCGTTTACACAAAACCTTGTTTCACTGCACATATTTGTATGCACCAACAAAGTTTTTTGTTTCCGAGCCCGATAGAAAACACGTTCACAAATCAGAGTGCAACTTTTCACTCTGACGTTTCAATTTTAACATATAATGTACGAAACCTTTGTCAAATTGGCATTTATTAAACCTGGATCGGCTGGTTTGGAACGCAGTCCTGTGTATTTTGTGTACGACAACCACTCGAGCAGTAGACGTGTGTAAAGAAACATGTTTTAAAAACAAAGTTTTGTGTGTGTGATTTTGTTCAATGTTTTCAAAAACTTTTAGCTAGAGACCCAGCTTATTTATTACCAATGTTTTGTATTTAACTCATAAATAAATAAATCTTAATCTTAAAATCACCGTATTACCTATGATAAATGTTTCACATATAAATATAAATGGGTCCTTTTAGAAATATATACATAAATGTAACTTTTTTGGCCTGACGAGCCATAATGATATACACTTCCGTACACATCTATAATTAAGTTAGCTAAAGCAATAATTAATTAAATCATATATTTAAAAAAAAACACAAAAAGATGGTTATGTTAGATTATCAACTTTAAAACTGCGTTAAAACTTTTTGCCCAATGTTACATTATTTTTTAGCTAGGAACTGTCAAAACCAAGACCAAAACTTATACGTATTACGTAGTATATAAATTAATAAATTTAAAATACTACTCACGCATCTGCCCGCTAGCCACGGCGTTGTATTCGTCGGGCGAATGTTGCACGATGAGATCTATTCGTTCCTGAAGGCTTAGAAGGAACAAGACAGCTTCTTCGCGAGTCACGCCCTTCATCTCCATATCGTTAACCTGCACAAAGAGTAAAAAAATCGTCAAATTAATTGTAAACAAGTAAAACTTTCATAGGAATATCCAAGCGTGCAAAAAGTATTTAGGGTTAGCTAAGGTAGGTAAATTTTTCAAAAATTTTAAACATTATTTTAAATGGTGCAATACGTCAAACATAACGATAATAATATTAAAAATTATTTGGAAAGTCGTGAAAAGTGCGTAAGCAGGTAATGTCTAAAACAAAAAGCTTTTTAAACAAAAATAAAAACCCACTTCATAAAAACAAAACCACTAAAAAGTAAGAAATCATTTATATTCTTTACTTTTAACTACATTTAAAACATTACGCCTTTGCCAGACACTAAAAAACATACAGGCTGAATTGATAACCTTCTCTTATTTCTTTTAGATGTGGAAAAGAACTAGTTTTAGGAAGGTCAAGGGGGAATATCTTCCTCCGAACTGGGTGATGTTAGCTCAGGGGCCGCGAACTGACTGACGTTGGTCGGGCACGGCTTCAAATTTCTCTTGCGTGATAAAGGCTCCCATACTTTTATGCATGAAGGTTAGAGAGAAGGTGAACGATCGCTGTAGAAAATAGTGTCCCAGAAATATGGACAAAATAAGTGAGGCGCTGCGATCGCTAAGTTGTTTCAATACAGACCAATGCCGCGAGGAAAATTTTTACAATATTCAACTAACTTCATCTACTTGTACTCATAAACAGATACTACTTCCCGACGGCAACGCGGCTGGTGGCTGAAAAATGAACTATAAATTCTACAAATTATCGGGGAGAGGCGGGCTAATGCTTTAGTACGTAGCGATATTTCTCCTTCTCTCTAACCTGCATGCTTTTATGTTTGCAGCACCTAAGGCGCTATCTCTTGACGAAGCGAGTGTCTACTTTCTCTGATAAATTGTGTTGGTTATATGCGGGGCGTATAGATGTCACCGCCACATAGCTACGAAGATTCGTTAAGTCGGTTCTCTCATTCCTGAAAGTCGTGGTCATCAGTAAGGAATCTTTCTTTGGTAATGCGACGCCAGTAATAACTGTCCTTCGCCGAATGTGTACACTGTGTGTGAAAGCGTCGAGTTCGGTGTTTATTTGGTCGGTCCAGCGTGTGGTGTGGGGCTTCTTTTCCTTGATCTCTTTCCCTCAATTTTCCTAGAGACCAGCAATTTCTATGTATTATGATAACCTATTTGTTTCTTAAGTTTTCAAGTACATCACTCATTAAATAAAACAGCTTTTTACGGGTTATATGCACAGAATTTATTTATTTACTGACGTTTCGCATCCTTTTCAGGAATACATCTTCAGAATAATGATTTTTTTTTTTGACTTTGTCGAGCTACCTTCAAAGGACTTTTATTGAGCGATCATTATTCTAAAGATGCAGTCCTGAAAAGAATGCGAAACGTCAGTAAATAAATAATTCAGTGCATATAACCCGTTAAAAAACCGTTTTATTTTATGATTACCTTCTGTATTTTATCAGCAGGTTGCTCCCTTTTTTAGGATATCTTTTAGCTGTGGAATTACCAATATAATAGTTACCTTGAGTATTTTATCAGCGGGCTGCAGCCCTTGTAAGGCGGCAGGGCTTGTGGGCTGCACCCCTGATACGAAAACCCCCGATCTGTTCCCACCACACAAACGGAGACCCACCGAGCCTTCTTTCTGGAAACTTATTAGGCGGGGCTCGCTTCTGAAATAGAACAAAATAAAAAATTAGTCATTATCTTGAAACTAAATAATAAAAAATATATTTCCAACATACACCAATTCGGCTAGCCCCAAAATAAGCACTGTAAGGCTTGTGTTATGGGATACTAGGGTAACGGATAAACTACATATACTGTACATATATAAGAATATTTATAAAGAAATACATAATAAACAACCATGACTGGAGTAAAAATGTTCGTATTCATCACACAAACATCTGCCCCCACCGGGATTCGAACCTCTCGAGTCGGCGACACCATGAAACCCAGATACAAACCACTCGGCCACGGAGGTCGTCAAAACTAAGGCAACTTAAGCGAAAAAAAAATAGAAGTAACAACCCATCCATTACGTGAGTCACGAGATGTAAGTATGTTTAACTCTTTAATTATATACACGCACAACGCAGCGTATAGGCGCGTTCGGAATTTGCATGCATCGCAGAGGCATCGGAGTTTTGGTCCCGTGATCACAGATTAATCTAAGGAAATTGCTATTACCGAACGGCCCGCCCAATCGTTTTTTTCTTACCTCAAACAGAAATTAACCTCACAAAATGACAGATACATTACAGACAACCGGATGTTTTTCTCGTCGGTCAAAATGATCAAAGGAGTACTTTGACAAACAGATTAACATCGGAATGATCTGAACGGAATTACCGAACGCTTCAGATTTACTCTAGATATAATAAATGAACAATTAAGACTAAAAATATTGATCAGATACAAATAACAAACGCAGCTACCGAGCACTCCAAATAAACCACGCGAAGAAAACGGCTCATGTTACGCGCAATGAGTGAGTATGTAAGTGAGTATGTGAGTATGTCAGATTGTTTGAAAGTAGTCAATGTGCGCGTTTGTAGCGACGACTATATCTGCCTTATGTAGTAGATATTTTCTGAGCCACTTCCGTAGAGTTAATACGGTATATAGGCATTTATATAATCAAAGTTCATTGATAATTAATTTGAAGGATTTGACAGTTTTGAATAGACTTGGTTTTATCTATATTAAAGTTTTTTATGGCGCTTCGATCGATTGGATCAGTACCCCTAGTATGAACCAATATCGTAATGACATTTCGCACTCGCAAACTAATCGCATTCGATATATTCATGCTAAGCGTACTGATCAAATCAGTCGAAGCGGCATACAAACCTAAATATAGTTAATACCAAGTCTAATCAAAACTGTCAAATCCTTCAACCTTTACAGTTCTTCGTTATAATGTAAAAAAAATTAAAGTTATAAACTGATATGCTATTTCCTATTATTAGTTTAGGTGATTACTGTAAAAACTTACGGTGGTTTATTCCTTTGATTGACTGCACCTCCTCCATCCTCTTCGTATAGCTGTCTTCTACTGCTGTAGTAATCTGCAAAATTAGGAAAATATGTTTATTGAACTGAAACATTTTATTAAAAACGTTCACTCGTCCAAGAATATCAATATCAATGGCTGAAAACTAATCATTCTGATTTTTATTTTAATTAACTTATAAAATAAATACTGCGGACTACAAGTTTTTAGGAATGCTTAATAAAAATAATATTTTGTTGAAATAAAATGCAATTCCATTGAATTGCATTACACACAGTCACAGTCTTCACAGTCGTCATTACGACTGTGAAGTAAGTGCAAGTCGCGGCGCAGTAAACGAATTCAGGGTTGTGTAGGTACGCGCGGGACGTAACTGAACTGAAATTGGCGCATAGTCGCACTCGTTGCTAACTTCAAAACCATGATAAAATTCGAATCACACTTTACCTTCGTTCTCATGGCGGAAGGGGAGGTTATTCGTGCTCGTAAATCTGTCCGCGTGCAGACATTTTTTAACCGACTTTAAAAAAGGCGGAGAATTCGAATTCGGCCTGTATGTTTTTTAGTGTCTGGAAAAGCCGTGACACTTTCCTCGCCGGTTAGTAACGAAAATAATTTAAATACTTTTGTTCAATTCGTACAGCTCAGGGCTCAGTGAAATAAGCGCAACCTACTAAAACCAAAGAAAATACTCCTGCACCGATCACCGTGGAAGTTAAGCAACTTTCGCAATGGCCGGTCATTGGATGGGTGAACAAAAATATATTCTCTCAAGCTCCTCCGTTGTCGGAAGGCAAGCTAAGCCGTTGCACTTGGCTTCATCTGCAGTCATTAGCATCTAACAATCCACACTGGGCCCATGTAGTGGGTCATGATTCAACTCCCTATACCATCCATAGGGAAAGCTTGTGCCCCAGCAGTGGGGGAATTAATCGTGTGATGGTTATGATGAATGTCAGTCAAACCTTCGTTTCTAGGCGGGGGAGGTCGGGGCGGTTGTTCGTGCTCGTGCATCTGTCCTCTGCCAGATCTGCCCTCGTTGCCCCTCACTGGGGCTGCGACGTATAAATTTTGTCCACTGCTGGAGTACGCGGTGGATATGGCCTCTGTACCCGCGTATACGTTGTGAGGTTGAGCTTCTGTAAACAATAGTATTTATGTTTATTATATTTTTATTTTATTTTCCTGCTGCTTGATATTTACCTATATCTCAAGTAATTTTTAAATATAAAATATATTTATGATCATTATACAAATTCAGCACAATACCGTTTTGACGGAATTAAGAAGTCCTTTCTTTATCACATAATCGCTTACAATAAGGCGAGGGTGGACAACACAATGAAAAATATTACATAATTACTATTAAAAAAAGTTTATACATGCCTTGTAAAACGTAAAATACGTGTCTATATTTACTACCCATGTGGTAGACATATGCTGTCGAAGACTTTATGGAACATTTTAAGGGGAGGAACTCCTTCATCCACAAAATTTAGATAACTTTACCCCGTTACGCAGCGCAAACAATGAAGCTCAGTAGGAATGTACACTAAGTAATAATTTCCCGATTTCGCCATTTTTTTCGCTCCTATTAGTAATAGCTTGTTGCCTCGATAATTATGGACTTTCCAACACAAAAATAGTTTTCACATTTGGTACCAAAAAAGCTCTATGATATAAGTATGGATTTACATTATGTTAGGTACATAATATAGAATTACCTAAGTTGTAGTATTTGTTATGGAAATTGCCGTTGGTGATAGTCTCTTCCCTGATGCGTTCCCTAGTGATTATCAGGTTCAGTTGATCCTTGCAGCTCTTTATGAATTTCCTGGCCTCCTACAGGGTCATGGCGTCGGTTACCTCAAAGTCAACTCTTTCACTAATAACTTACAACCTGAGACTCATATGAAGTATAGAAAAGCATTGAATCAAAGAATTACCTAAACTGTTGAAATTGTTCTGGTAATTGCCATTGGTGAAAGTCCCTGATGAGTTCCCTAGTGGCCACCCGGGTCAGGCGGTCCTATCAGCTCTCTGTGAATTTGCTGGCCTTCTTCAGGGTTATGGCATCTGTTACCTCAGAGTCAATTCCTTCACGTACAACTTACAACCTAAGACTACCACATTAAGTTTATTTTATCATACAATTACCTAGACTGTTGTAATTGTTCTGGTAATTGCCGTTGGTGACCGTTTCCTCTCTGATGAGTTCCCTTGTGATCACCAGGTTAAGGCGATCTTTGCAGCTCTCTATGAGTTTCCTGGCCTCCTTCAGCGTCATAGCGTCGGTCACGGGATTATTGTTGATCCTGGTCACAACGTCGCCTTCACATAACCCTTGCCCCGCTTGGTTGAGCTGTTCTCGAGCTCTCATAGTTAGCTCTTTCACGTATAGCTTACAACCTAAGACTACCCCGAAATCTGTAACAAAACAAAAAGAAATGTTATTGAAGAGTTGTGGACATATATTTATCACTTTTTTACCTGAAACACAAGACAATCTTAGTTATGGCTATGAATTTTTCTACTCCTTTTGTTTTTTAATTTTTTTTTTTGCATGCAAGTAAAGTACGATTTATTAACTCAAAACTCTGAGTGTTGGTAACACTAGAGGAAGCGTTTAGTCGGAAGACTTTTAATTCAACGTTGGAAGTGATGAAACATTGGGAGGGGTGACACAGCCTTCTTTCTTCCCGTTCCTGGTGAGTGACAGCTTGGTGGTAGTAGGTGCGGTGGGGGCGCGATTGACGCCCTCCTTTAGACCACCAGGGAGCATTGGCACCTTAATAATATCACAGTCATGGGTTACCCAAGAAACTTAAAAAGGTCTGCATCTATAAGTACGTTTTACCTTCTTTCTTCCCATTCCTAGAGAGGGACAGCTTGATGGTGGTAGGCGCGGTGGGAGGCGGGGCGGGCGCTCTCCTCTTGACCACCAGGGAGACCGCCGCCCCGGAGTCCCGCAACACTTGCACCGCGCGAGCGTACTCCACATTCTCTAATGGTACCCCGTTCACTGACACTATCCTGTCGTTCACTCTGCAATAATCGAAAAAAGTATAAAAATTATCCAATTGAAAACTAGCAATCATTAATGTCTTCACTATGGGGCATATACCTTTCAAAAGGCTGGAATAGGGAGATTTCGCCATTGCCATCATCATCAGCCTATTTATGTATCGACAGTAAGGGTACAGGCCATTTGTATGGATTGAATAGAGACTGTGACCAATCCGCACTGGGCCGTGACCTACCTCGCAGGCCCAGTGCAGATTGGGTACTAACGACTGCAGATGCAGCCGGGACTAACCAATTTGAGCTCCTTGCAAAACATGGAGGAGCTCAAGATAATAAGTTTTTGGTCACCCGTGCAATGACCGATCATTGCGAAAGTTGCTAAACTTTCACGATCGCAGGCCAAATACGCTAACCACCTGCGTTCCCGAGCTCATGAGTTTAGTTAGTTACTTGATTGACTCATACGTCAACTGAAGTCATTTATCAGGCCCCATAGCATTATCCCGGCAGCACGATAATGACACACACAGCACATCGTCTTCTATAAAAAACATAGAAACTGTACGTACTGTAATTTATCTTCAGCAGGTCCCCCCCTCAGCACGTCGGAGACAGCTATAGAGGGGTCGCCGCTGGCGAAGTGTGGGTTGTCCCTTCCACCGGATACTGCTATGCCGAACCCGTAACCCGGGACCCTGTTCAGGCGCACTCGGTGCGTTTCCCAGCCCGCGCTGCGCTCCGCCGTCTGTAAACAAAAAGAAAACAATATTGTACGATGCGGCTGAAAGTTGGACAACGATTTTAAAAAGATAAGGAATAATGAAGTTTCCACTCGAATGGAACGCCCGCCTGGGTAAGAACCAAAGAATGCATCCACATAACAAAATAAAATTTCGAGTATCAGTTCCTGCTCTAAGTAAGGTAACCGAAACTCCGTGAAGTAGACGAATCAAATGACTGCAGTATCACATTTCTTTGCCGCTTCAGTTACCTTCGCAACTCGACTCATTTGTCCCAGTGCTGTCATTCGCGTGGCAATGCATGTTTTTGTGAGTAAACAACAATAATATGTATATAAAATAAACAGCGTGGGCGACAGAACTGATCCTTGTGGGACGCTAGCATTACTGGATTCAGTATCACGTCGACGTGTCACGCCCAGTTGACGCCGTCAACTACGACTCGTATGCTGCCTTCTGACAGAAAGCTGCCATTCCATTTACATTTGCCTAACCCTTGCATTGCTGATAATCCATTTGCATAGCTTTACCAGGCTTGGAGCGTCGAGATGCTTAAGTTACGTCAAGCGGGAAATGGCGAATAGCTCTAGTGGTTTTCTAGGTAGAGGGAATGTTTCCCTGGGGTAGTCTCCACCTTGCCGTAGAGTTACTTGGTCAGTCGAGCCTAATGGGCGCTAGCACCGGCGCAACTAAAATGCATCTCAAAGACTTGGACTTAAGCTCTAGTTAGCCGTTGTCGTGACAGAGGAGGAATAACGTCAAGGTACATTGTGGAGTGAAAAGTGAAGCGGAGTGATTAGCAAGGACTTATTTAAAAAAAATATAAAACGAACCATGAAAAATAAGACAGTGCATTAAATCTTACAATAAGGTTAGTATTTTGAAATTGAAATGCTCAGTAACGCCAGAAGGATCTCGTGCGTTTGGAATACCTCCTACATAATATAACGGACAACATCATAGCTTAGGCCCAAACAATAATAAAAACTCAATGGGGGTTTGACAATGGACACATATTTTTTTAATAATGATGTAACTATGCTGTTTATATATTCTTATATAAACCAGCATTTTTTGTCGACTTTAAGCGAGCAAAACCTCGTAAAGTGACATTAAAAATTTCATTCACTCAGGTTTCATTCTAATAGAAGTCTTACTAATTGCATTTACTCAAGTAAAAAAGATGTTAGCGGAAAGACGTAACCTACATACGGCTAAACACATTACGTTTAATAGATACTTAGAAAAGCTTGACCTACTGTTTCATCACTGTCATCGTCTGGCGAAATAAAACACAGCGAAAATAATATTTCATATTTATTCATAAAACCTGCAATCAGTTCAATACTAAGTAGACTACTGCAGACAAAAAAAAAGCAGAAAAGAAAGTTATTATTACATTCACCGAGGAAATTTTCTGTGTAGAAAGGGTTTTTGTTTGCTATTAGTAATTCTGACAACCAGTACCCCTAGCACGAACAATATTGAATTCGAATAGTTTAATACGAGTCCGAAATGTCATTGTCAAATTTTGTATAGAATTCAAGTTTCTAGTCAAGTCAGCAGCGCCAGAAAGGACGTAATTAGAACTAAAATCAGTACATATTTGACACTGACATTTCGGACTTGCTCACTATTCGAATTCGATTTTGGTTCGTGCTAAGGGTACAGTCTGTCCTTATCATGATAAGTAAGGAATGAAAAGGACTGACTGATGTCAAAATTACAAATAGCAAACACGAATAGCAAAGCACATTCCAGAGAATTGGGACTGTGTTAAGTACCTGTTTACTTTTTGGCATAATTCACTTGCAATATCAAAAGAAAACTCTTTAAAATACACTATAGAAAACTTTGCCATCCGTCGCACACTTCAAAACAGTTCATTAACGAAAATGTGGTTTATTCGTACAAGCGAACAATCAATAGTAAAAACGTTTACATAAACCATCATCCAAGTGTATTGTTCAAAGATTCGTAACACCTTACAATGTTCTCCATTGTTTGCTCCAATAAATGGAATGAAAGCGAAATGTTACGGCTCAACCGTGAAATTTTACCGGAGACTTGTTCAAACATGTTTTGTACACCATGCGAGGCAAGGTCGGAGAAAAATAAAATAATAAATAAACAAGTTACCTGAGCACATAATTATTCTTATATGACTCATCAGACGATGAAACAATGTTGTGTGGGTTAGGTTGGTATTTTATGTTAATTCTTTTATGATTAATTCAAAGTGTTTTTTGAAGGCAAAGTTATTTTCGGACGGGGTGTAAATGTCAAAATCCTATGGAAAAGATAAAACGGAAATGCGTCACGAGCGTCACATGCGATAATATATATTATGAGTAATGCGTACGCTGCTCCATTCCCCTTTGCCTAATGCACCGCCTTATGTTATTTAAGTAAAAGAATTTTCTCTTCAGATGTGTGGTCCGGGCACACATTTTTTTTTAGATTTCCGTATTATGTACTAAACTTTATGTATGTTGCACACCGTAATGAATAAATCATTTTTCATTATTTTTTTTTTCAATTTACGCCGTATTGGGTCCATCATAGTGCACTTGTTATAAGTAGCCAAGAAGTTTCTCACGCGACGCCATTGCCGCTCCCACTCAATGAGGTGCTAAAGTAAAACTAATGGGCACTATGTTTTATCGAATGATACAGCTCCTGCTTAGTGCTAACCGTAAATTATTATCACCGCCCTAAGGTTGCGCGGTAATATTCTATTTCTGTAAGTATTGCTACATTTTCGTGTGAATTGCTTATTAAGAAGGGTTCTAGGTAGACAGTAGCGTAGTTCAGGAAAATAGTGTAGTCGTCCCATCGAAGAAAGAACAAGTCAATGATTTCTTAAAAACAACGGAGACACAATGCCGAAAGTGGTGTGCTCAAAATCAAAAATCATTTATTCAGTCTAGGCTGTTACAAACACTTATGAAGGTCAAGAAGCTACACCATCGATTTGCAAAACTACGGCGGGAGACCTTGTACTGAGAAGAACCGGCAAGAAACTCAGCAAGAGCTGTTTTTTTCTCCCTGTATCGTTATATACAGAGTCGTCAAGTTGAAAAATGACTTCAGAGATACTTCTAAAGTCACCTTCCATTACATCATTTAAGGTATATAGTTACAATAAATTTTATAGTTAATTTTTATTTAGTATATTGGAAGCGGCATCAGATAGGTACCATATTACTGTTATGAAAATTGACTAATGTACTGTACAAATAACTAGTCAATGTTTTTCTAAAAACAACGGAGACACAATGCAAAGTGGTGTCGTCCTCGAGGAGTGATTATGGGTGTGAATTTTAAACTTATACCTACTAGCGGACCGGGCAGTCGTTGATCAGCTGCAGATCAGAAAAATATAAAAAATACTAAAGAACCCGACTACAGCGCCACCTATCGGTTGTGAATCTTAATCATTCAGGGACCCACAATATGACAAAAACATTATAAGTTTAAATACCAATAGAAGACGTTATTTGTAGGAGAAACGTATTACTCACATTCTTGTAGCCTCCAATTCTATATAGAAACGACATTTGCGTAGAACGTAGGAGCTGGTATTAAAAAACGAAAAGGATACATCCTCTACAGATAATAATATATTATCCAAGTTAAACTACATAAACAAACAGTAAGGCACACAAACTTATCACACGATGGAACCATAACCCGATTACTTGTAAAATAAACTCAAAGCATAAGTATATGAAAAAGAGTTCAACGCGTCACATATTTTCACACAAAAAGTTTTGTGATTAAACAATTTTCTCTATGAGTGGAAAATTTGTTACCGTTTATGAAAATATCGTCTACTCCCTTTTCCCTTTATTGATGTGAATATATCGGCATTGTTTATAAATTGCTTAATTAAAAAAATACAGTGTGTATTCGGGCTCTCCAAAATCCTCTGTTATAAGGAGTTTACTTAAGTAGTGTTTAGCACGCACTTATAAGCTTCTATCAAATGTATAGATCAGCATAAAACGAACATTACCTTTTTGTACTTGTATCTTATTAATGAGTTTATAGAACATCTAAAAATAAAATCATATTTTTCTATAGTCAAAAACTATACCGAGTTAAGTATAGGTAGGTATCGAAATCAATTTAATTAAACTACAAGAAACTATTTAATATATCTACGACCAACGCTTATTGGGTACAAAGAAAATTTATCATTAATGTTTTCCTCTATATATGGGACTGTTATACAATAACTGGTAGCTAGCTAGCTATTGGGCAAGAGGTCAAAGTATGCCAAAGCCGAATCCCACAATGTTATGTATCAGCCCACGCCAACTTGCATGTTTTATGCAACCCGCCAGTTTCGATTTCATTTTGAAAGACGATATCTCTATTACACATTAATATCGACATCAAAATATAGACGTTGTAATTTTCACGGTCTAATTAGCGAAGATAAACAGTCTTTTGTTCTTGTCGTCCCATTATGTGCTTCCAGTCCAGAACATGAGTAAAGGATATGTATTCCAGGACTGTAAAAGCTCATTGTCGGACTTTGATAATTCCCATTCTTAAATAAAGTTCAATTTAAAGTTTTTCAAGCTGAGGCAATACAAAAATATTGCGAGTGGTGCGTACATAAGAAAATCCAAAACTCCGTTATATTTTTGGACACCTTCCTTATCTTTCTTTTCTTCTCCTTTTCTTTCTCCTTATCCAAGAGCTTATGAATCGCAACTCCAAAAAATACAATATATATTACATCCAAATATCATTAATAAAAAAAAACAATGACGACACAGTATTAACAAACACAATGTATACGTATATTATAATAAAACGGTAGGAAAGTAAACTGTACATTGAATATTTTTTTTTAAAAAATACTATATCTACAATCGATACCGAAGCCAAAAATTTAGTTTTAAGTATTTTTGTCTGTTTTTCTGTATGTACGTCCGAGATACACTCAAAAAGTACTGCATGGATTAACTTCAAATTCGGCACGAATATTATTAAGAATTCGGGTCAACATATAGGCTACATATTATCACGCTGTCACCTGGGAACGAGCAGTGAACCTTTATTTCTAACTAACATGCGTGGAGCATGCGAAGTCGTGGGCGGCCGCTAGTGTTAAAATAAAAATAATAAAAGAGAGATTTATTTCATACAAATTGCAAGGAGATAAAAAAGTAAGTTAAATTTTCTTTAAAAAAAAGGAAATAAAGTTTTTTTTTAAACTTTAACAGTTTAACGGAAGCTCTCAAATGGAATATTTTTCCCTGTTTTTGCAACATTTTTCATCGTTGCACCGCTACTACAGGCGGCCATTCGCCTAACGGAAATGCTTAGGAAAACGCTAACGCCTACGATTTCATTTTGTTATTTCTTTTCGCGCCCTTTTTTTTCTTTTGCATTGGTAATAACAATATTAAAAAAATGAGCGTGAGGTATTTGAAAACCTTCGGCGGTCAGAAATAACAAAATAAAATCGAAAGCGTTAGCGTTTTCCAAACCATTTCCGTTAGGCGAATGGCAACTGGTCATAAGACTTTCTTAAAAAAATGCACTAACACAAAAAAAAACGAATAGGTCCTGTAGTTCCCAAGATTAATGCGTTCAATCAAACAAAAAACTGATGCTTTATAATATTAATTTAGAAACTAAGTATGTGAACCTCTGTGGCCGACTGGTTTGTACGCCAGGTTTCATAGTGTCATCGACTCGAGAGGTCCCGGGTTCAAATCCCGGTGGGGGCAGATGTTTGTGTGATGAATACGAGCATTTGTACTGTAGTCATGGATGTTTAATATGTATTTCTATATAAATATGCTTATATATGTACAGAGTATGTATTCTATCCGTTACCCCAGTATCGCTTAACACAAGCCTTAGTGTGAGTGTGGGAAATATTTATTTATTTAAGTATAGATTTGTTCAAGCTTCGGGGGTGCTTGGTAATACAAAAAGGTTTGTCCTACACATTTTTCGTCCCGTCACCTTGGTACCCTTCCTCACACAGCTGTCTTACAAAAATCTTTGTGTTAATCAAAAACTTCAAAGGAATAAATTTCAACAAGCAGATTTGAAGTTTTTAAAACTTTTTGACGAAAATTATTTCCATTGGTTTTGTATGCAAATAAGAATTAAAACAATAAATCTGTGAAACAGGGAGGGTTGATGACTTTTTACATTATTATGAAGTAATTTTTGATTTTGTATTACAAAAAACATCGGTTATATAAATTATTTGTTAAAAATCCTTGACTCTCGTTTGAAATAAGAGTCTTAAGAAATAACTTACTTTCTTATCCGCACTTGCATCAAAAATTTATTCTAAATTGTTTAATTTTTTGGAATATTTTTACGCATACCAGAAATCTGGAATTTACTTTTGCTTTCCCACGAATGCGAACTACCTTTTGATGAATTCATTCTGATTAATTTAGTTGGTGGTTGTTTGGAAGTGTGTTAACCCGTTAACTATAACAAATGAAATCAAACATACTCTGCATACTTTGTCTGTCTGATTATGTTCTCAATTAAGAAAACAGGAAAAATACATATAAGTATTTCTCTTCATAACGGTTAACTAGCAAATTAGGTACTTGAATATAACTAACATTTATTAATTTTATGTGCATACATATAACTACTTTAGGTAGTTGTTGTATTGTCAACAGTTAGCGAAGTTACCAGATCCAGATACTAACTAAATTTTTAATAGCGATTATCCAGTAAGTACCAACCTGCAATTTCTCTAAGCCGAAGTTATCCAATTTCATAGCTGAATTCACAGACATAAGTACCAACATAAAGAAGATCACTAATCAATCACACCACACAATAACATTATTAAGATTATACCTATCACCAAAAAATCACATTTAACAAATATTAATCATTTTCCACTTTTAAATTACAACAACGATTCTATTCTATTCTAATAACTGCAAATGTTTAATGAACATCTGCGATAGAAAGTAGTTTGCGTCGTTAAAATATCTTTTAGACAATTGTTTTTTTTCACAATTTTGTAGTTTTGAATACAGACAGTGGGCGTCCACCAATGGCGACGTCTCGTGAGATACGGATACTACAGAGTCAACATATTTGAAAATCGAACGCCTAGTAGAACCCACCAAATTTAAATTACCATAGAACGTGATAATTCGTGAGGCGTACGAGACGAATATGGCTGGCCGTTCTTTACCGTCGGTCGGCTACAGAGTCACTGTCGTCTGTACAAGTGTGGCACGCGAAGTACTGCTATTCAAATGGGGATTTGTTTACCAAGACTTTAGTTAGAGGCCGTCTCGTGGAACAGATCCGATGAAATTATTGACAAAACATGAGCTGTATTAAAGCCACCTACATCAGAAAGTACTACAGTACCAAGCCCTTACATGGGCCTGCCTATAGTATTGGTTTATCGAATCATGCATTGAGTAAACTCTATTTTGTTACGTCGAAGGAACTTTATTGAATTTGATGCCTTTTCAAAATGATATTTGATCACTTGATTCACAAGATCGCACGATCACTTCACAATGACTGGCACTTTTCACTCGCATTTTCGCCCGAGTACAAAATTGGTTATCTATGTAAACTTTCGTCTCGTAGGAAGGGATCATTTCAACTTTGTAAACTATGAATAGGTATTAGACTTAAAACGTAACAAAGATTCTTTCTTAAACAAGGCACAGCAAATTATCACAACCACAAATTTTCTTTAAATTTTAAAATTTTATTAGTTTAATGCTTAAAATAAAAATATAATATGCCACCCCATCTAGTATTAAGTGTAAGTGGAGTTCAGTTGTGAAGGTAGCAGATGCGATATGGACGTACCGCACCTCGCAAACCTGAACCCAATCCCCTACGCCGTGGAGAAATGGAACCTTATTTTTCGTAAGATGGTCATAGAAACAACACCACCAAAAAATAGTAATGTTTGTACGATACACTTTATCCTGATATTATCTTCTATTATACATTATTATAATTAAAATAAAGTAGTCAACAACATGTGTAGATGGGTATTTTAGTGGGCATAGGTACATTTGGGTAAACATATAGGTACAACGTAGTTAATGCTCTTTTTTTTATCAGTATATCAAATGTAATATTTCATAAGAATATTAGCTGCACTCTTCACCGTAACGTTGATTATGCAAAAAGCTCGCAATCTGAGCGCAAAATTTGTATAAAAAGATATAGGTACTTAAGTAGTCATAAAAATTTTCCTTAACGTATTAATATAATGTTAGTTGCATGATAACTGTCCATGTGTGGTATAAGTAAGATTAAGGAAGTCGTTAGCACGTTGCCTCGCAAGTATTAAGAACAACGGTAAGAGCCTTACTTCATTCCAGTCATGGTCGATTTAACTTATTGGTGACACCAATCGATATCGTCTTATGAGTGCACTTACTGACCTATATGAAACGACAGTCAATTATCAGAACCGGATTAGGCAGGGCAGGCTGTGGCCCAGAGTCCCCCACAACAGAGATAAAGAATAACTACATTTCTACGGTTCATCAACCAGAGGGGGCGCAAATAGTAAATGCCAGGTTTCCAGATTTACCTTCGTTGCCCCCTGGTAGTGGTGGTAAAGCCTCCATACCTCTAAATCCAGCCCTGAATGATAATGAAAGAAGATAGGTAGGACTAAATTGATTTTTGTAGTAAGTACGTTGTAAAACGGAGTGGTTAGCATCCTGCCAATTAATAAACAATGGTAAAGCACGACCTTAATTAATGCTATAACGATAAACTTATTGCATTTGCCTGAAAGCTGTTCTAAATTTCTAATATGTATAGATTGGCGTTAGGAACAAACGAGCCTCGAACCCGTGGCATTTCACTATCCGGCAACGGCTCTTCCTATTAGGTTGCTTACCCGAAACTTATATCTGTAGTCATTATTTTAACCCCACCGAGGACTTGCGCTATTTCTGAATATTGTATCTATATAATTACCTAATAATCCATAAAATCGAATAATTTCAAAGGTAACAGAGATATGGGCAAATAATTACTACCTTTTAATTAACTAGCTCTCTTTTAAACTAAAATTGTAAACTTATGATGTAACTAGTAAACTAACACCCGACGATGATAATATAAAATCAATCTTTTAAAAGTTGAATAATCGTTCGTCATCTTACTAAACACCATCCGTTGCAAATAGGTCCACCGCATGAATTCCAGCGATTTCACAAAGCTGACAGGTTCACGGCTAAGGTATGCGACCACATCATTATTCTGTTGGAATACAACACCACAAGCTGTAGGCATAGTTACCATGCTACGCCTCTATTAAAACAGAACACAACGCACAAGCTGATAAGAGATAATTTCGAATAGCAAAACCTTGTGTCCATCGCACCGATATTTTGTGTGCCAGCATACGTGTAGACAATGGGCATTCTATATTATTATGTAGGTACAATAGAAACCAATACTGATTTAAAATGCACACTAACATGACAGTAAGTATATCGTCCAGTTTAATGTTAATAAGGTGCAATCTTGCTTGATGCCTACAACAAAAGCTAAATAATAAAATTCCAGTAAGCCCATTTGGATGCGACGCCATAATTACTGATCTCCACTGAATGGCAAACGAGTGTTTAAAATTGAAAAATAGCATAGCTATCTTTATTACCCACCTGTTTAAATATTTTCTCTATAGTTTAAGGTTTAAAAAAGAATTATGTAGTTAGATGAATTTATTTGGAATGGCCGGTTGGCACAGTGCAGTCGAAATCCATTCATCCAAATCCATCCAAAGGATTCCATACTAATATGTAATATCTTTACATTGTAGTACTATACTATTTAAAGTGTCTTATTTAGTCACTAAGTATAAATAGTTTCTAATATTATAATATCGAGTAAAAAACCCACATAATAATTAATTTTATTTAATTTCAACTGTCTAGCTATCACGGTTTATGAGATATAGCCTGGTGACAGACAGACAGATGAAAAGCGAAGTCTTAGTAATAGGGTACTGTTTTTACCCTTTGGGTAGGGAACCCTAATGATATTTATATATATTATACTCAATAGTTAAACTTTCTTCCATAATAAGTTGATGACCTAAGGTTGAGTGGCTAGGCTAGCTAAATATATCTTTATTAACTTTTATAGATATAATTTGACAAGAGCCTGGGTGTTTGTGGTACTTCTCTTCTACATTGTTTCCGATTTCTTAAAATGTGATACTTTGAGCCTAATACTATTTGATTAAGGTAATAAATTGTTATGGCGCGATTACACTTAGTCATTAGCCGGAATATGAGTGCCAATGGTATTTGCTAAAACACTTAGTGTAAACAAAAGGAGTTAAGTACCTATTATATATTCAGGTAAGTTCCTTTTGTTTACTAGACACCCTCTTCGAGCCCATATTCTAATTAGCGATGAGCGACTTTGAATATTACTAATACTAATCATTTGACTCCACGAATCATTCAACTAAGTCGACTGCGCTTTATATCATTCGACTGGAGTCGAAGGTATAAGGCCGCGCTCGCACGCAGCGACATTTGACATTAGTATTACTTATTAGTAGTCGTTATTCAAATAATGACATTAGTATACTACTAATTTGCCTTTCGAATAGCTAAATTAGTAGACACAAATTAGTCAAAAGGTAAAATCATTCGTAGTTGCGCATCGCTAATTCTAATATTGATCCTGCATAAATATTGATTGGGGTGCCTGAATGCACTTAGTGTGAACAAATGGAGTCAAGTATGCCTCTATTCAGGTAGATTTCTTTTTGTTTACCCGACACTGTCTACCAGCCCATATTCCAGCGTAAATATTACTTTGGGTGCCAGAATTGGAGTAGTGTTTCAAGCACTGCAATATAAGCTAACAAGGAAATGTAATTGCAGCATTAATTAGTTAATCAATGTATTCCTTTAAACACCATTATGATAATGACAGAATTTGAGAATAGTTACAGAATTTGTAAATACTGAAACAGTTAAAAAGGTAAGTTTTACTACTTACTACAATCTATTTATTAAACTGCGTTGTTTATATATCTAAGTAATTTATTTATAGAAATAAAAATCTTTCAGTAAATAATGGCAGAGGAAAACTTCTTGAGCAAAACTACAGATAGATGTTTTTAATATGTAAAATTGCTCCTGACCTTGCCATTGGCCATAGTTTATGCTCAAAAAGTTTGCCAGGGTGTATACTACATCAAGTGTATGATTCCTACTATTTTTAAAAGATCACTATTATTAAATCTCAAATTTCGATCAACATTTTTGAAGTAAAATAAAAACAATATTCATTTCTTTGCTTCATTTATTACACAAAAATAAAATATTATATATTCTGACACATATTTAGTACCAATAACCTGGCAATTCATTTAAATTTGAGCCCTTAAACTCAAATATTTCATTAGGATTGGTTTTTACTCTGTTTATTAAAGATTTTTTGTTAAACTTCATTTCATTTGTACATTCTTGTTTTAATAACTTAATTTTATGTAAAATTTTATTTCTGTAGGTGATTTCTAAGCCAGGGTCTTGTAAAATATTTGATAAAACACCTATATTATCTGATATTAGCTCTGGTATCTCATACTCCACTTGAACATTATTTGTAAGTTCAGCATCGCTATATTTTCTTTTCAACTTTTTTGGGCATATGTGTTTGTCCAAAGAAATGTCAGTATTTATAATTTTCCCATCCTCGTCAAATACAATTTTTTTTGTAGTTTTACATTCACACTTATCTGAAGTATCTTCAGTATCCTCAGAGATTTCTTTGCTGTCCTTTGTGTCGTTTTCCGAAATGTTTAATAAATGTCCATACTTAGATTCAATTCGCATCATAACTGCTTTACATTTCATGTAAACAGCCTTTAATTCGTCTAAATCATGTTTATCTATCCCACTACTTGCAGTTTCCGTGTCTTCTACAGGAACTGTTAAACTATTCTTGCATTTTTTTCTGTTAATTTTGTTTTTCTTTATTTCAGCACCTCCAGTTTCATTCTGCTGTGTCAAATATTTACATGTATCTTGTTCCACGTGGTTTTCCATAGTCCTATATTTATCAGTGGAAATGCAACTTGTGTCCCTATCCGATAATTGTCTATCCTTGTATATCACCATTTTATTGACACAATAAACTAATTATTTTAGTTACTTTTTCATTATTTTACACCTTATTCCTAACCTAACTTGTCTCAGAGTTAGACAAAACTAGCAATCAAAGAAAGAATATCAATCAATCAAATGTCAAACTGACTGACGTTTAAAAGTTCATTTCATTCGTTCATTTACATATGACAAATATATTAGTAAAGGGACACGCACGACTCAACACCAATCGTCATGTTGTTTAAAAGGACAACCACCTCCAAGACTATAGCCTAAGAACTTTAGAGTATAAAGCTCATCTGTCACTTGGGATTTTGACAGGTTGATCTTCATGCCTATTGTTTCAACCAAGGCACAAGCTTCCCGAAGCGAAAAGCTAACACCGACGTTCAGTATAGAGTCATCACCCATCACTAGGAGATCTTTCAACTCAACATCTTGCGTGAGACATATCCATTCACACAAGATATGATTACAGACTGAATCTATCAATTGGGTAAAATAACTGCCACTAGCTACTCCTGATGATTTTCTAAAACAGTGGCCATCAGCTGTACGTATCGGAGTATAGATGAAATACCGTACCAAGTAGTTCCACAGACGTATCATCCTTTCAGCGTCTGCGACTCCATGATCCTCATAATTCACGAAGTCGATGTTTGACTGGAGAATCATGAATGCATATTTTATTAACCATGCAGGAACGGTCTTGTCGAAGCCACTAAAATCAAGGGCAGCGAATTTTCTGCCGTTAGCAAAGCGGCGGCACACGCGGCGGGCACCTCCAATTGCAGTCTCATAGCCATATGCTATTGGATTTTGTTTCTCCTGGTATGCCCGAATGAGGGGTAGCGCAAACATACCCTCGATGAAGGTGATGGTAGCTGGATAGCCCCAGATGGCACGAATTTTTCGTTCATCACGTGGACAGACGTGAGATCTTACGTTGGCCATACAATCAGGTGGGGACATCTGAATGCCATTCTTTATCTTATGCGCAAAGTATCGTACTCGGCGGACAGCTTCGGGGTCCTTCCGGATGTCATTTTTCGTCTTGTATCCTTGCTCCTTCCATGGTAGGCCCGGTGATTTATCCCATATATCCAAATCTTGTTGGAAAACATCGTTAAGATGAATCATTTTTACGGGTTGTGGTAATCGGAACGCATTGTATGTTTTTGCGATTGCGGCCCTCAGAAATGGACAATCTGGCTCTTTTGTTAGATTTGAAAATTTTTGAATGTCGTGTTTTATAGCAGATTGAGTCACTGGGGAACGCCATTTTCCGGTATCAACTTCGGGCAGGAAAGGGGTGGAAGAGACCTCCGCCTGGGTACGTTGTGCGAATCCAGCCTTTCGACCAGTATATCGCAACATGGGAGAGTTTGCTTTCGCGGGTCTGATATCTTCTGGGGGCCAATCGCCTAACGGAAATGCTTTGGAAAACGCTAACGCTTACGATTTTATTTTGTTATTTCTAGCCGCCTGACATATTCAAATACCTCGCGCTCTTTCTTTTTCTTTTGCATTGGTAATAACAATATTAAAAAAAATGAGCGTGAGGTATTCGAAAACCTCAGGCGGCTAGAAATAACAATATAAAATCGTAAGCGTTAGCGTTTCCCAAAGCATTTCCGTTAGGCGATTGGCCCCCTGGCCATAAGCATGAATAAAGGGTGTTTTTTAGTCAGTAGGAGTCTGACATAACCTTACAGCCGGCTGTAGGGTATCCATGAGGATTTCTCACCCTCTCCCCCGCCTGGGAGGAAACAAAAAAAAAAAAAAACACGACTCAACTATTCATTGCGAAATCCACGTAAAAGGGCACCGCCATTTTGCATAGAAGATATTATGAAGAATAATACTTTTAAATAGCATAAAATAAATTTTTGTAGACAAACAAAGGCCCACTAAGTTATTCTATGACAAACGGGTGACGTATGGCCCGCCTAAATAATAGCGGCCAATATACTGAAAAGTTTGTGATAACAGAATATTACTCGCGAATCGCACGTCACCTACCATGACCACAACCCTTAATACCCACTTTCAGGCTTGTAAATTATTCACTTCCAAAAAAAAAACACTACCAAGTGTTATATTCCTTGAAACAAAAATTACTACATAAAAACAAAATCAAACCAAATTCTTTTCTAAACTTATTACCAAGTAACATTAGAACTACCTATGTATAACTGAAGTTTAATAATAGAATTGGCCGTAAGTATAGCAGCCACGTACTTATTTAGTCGATCAACAAACAACACTAAACAAGATGGCGGCGTCGGGTGTGCATGACGACGCGCCACCCAGTGTTGCCAACTCTACGTCTTTTTACGTAGATCTACGTATTTTAGGCCTTTTATGGAAACCTACTAACTTCAGTCCCAGAATCTACGTATTTTCTTAATTTATTTCAAATTTGTAAAATAACTTAATTCACTAGAATAAAGAAGAATATTTTCCGTTACTTTTTTTTCCGTTATTTTTAAGTAATAAAAACTATACAAATGTTTATTTCTTATAAAGATGTATCTAAACACTCTTGTATCTTGTAGAAAAGATTATTGGTTTTGTTGACTAAATTAATGCTGGACGCAGGATTTGTGAAAGCAGAAACGACAAAACTCTTTGACTTAGTAGGTACATTCATAACCTTAAAAATTGTATTTTTAAACTTTTACTACTATCTATGAGTACCTACTCACATCGAATTGATCTTTGCAAAAAGAAAAGACTTTCAGTCGATAAAGTTATAGGATTTAGCAAGTTTTAAGCATATGTTCATGTGTAAGTATGTTTTTTCTCTTGGCAATTTAAACCACAACTTTTCTAGAGTCTTTTACCAAGTGTATCATGATAACTACTATATTTTTCATGTGATCTATTAGAAATCATGGTTTTATAATATTAACTTAGCTGTTTATTTCCTACGTGCTTGCGAGTGTTTGTTTACAAATGTTTTGACGTCATAGCATAGATAAGTCTATAGACTAAAGAGCGTTTTTGTATGTCTTCTAGGTAAAAAAAAATTTTTTTTTCGTGTTGATAGAACAATTATTAACAATTTAAAACATAATTCCAAAAAGTGTCAACTTGCCCATTTAACAACAGTTTCTCCTTGTCTTCTCTATACAGAATGAAAAGGAGAGACTGATGTTAAATTAAGTTTTAAATTTAGAGAACCATCCAGAATCGGCACCCACCAGTGTCTGTGTCTGATGGTAAATGTTTACCACAGCATGGTAAATGCTTCCAAATTTCCAATGCAGCGACTTCTCCAAGAACTCTTTGTTCTATCTCCCGTTCTTAAACAAATTGTATAACAAAATACTCATTTTATTCGGTTTCAAATAACTTCTTCATTTCACTCAGAAAAAAGTACGTAGATCTACTTACTTTTCATATGCAAAATTTACCGATTCTACGTAATTTTCTCATCGGGCCTACGTCTTTTTCAAGATACGAGTTGGCAACACTGGCGCCACCGTGCTCATGCGCGGCACGCTGGATTGCGACATCAGTTCAGAAACCAGTTTCTTTATTTTTTAAAATATCGAACTACAAAAATATTACACTGTCATTAATAGTATGTGTGTATGTATGTATTAATTGTAAGTATTTTTGTATATGCATAAGAATATATATTTATGTGTAATCTTAGATAGGTATATAATCTACGTGTACTTAGTACACATCTACACCCGCTTACATTTGTCTCTCACTAAACCTTGGTTGGCTGGAAGAGATCTCTATTGGAGATAAGCCTTCCTTTGCTCACATATTTATGTTTTGCATGTTACAATTTTTGTGTGCAATAAAGAGTATATTATTATTATCAAGAATGGTGTCGATTCTGGCGTAATTCTCTCAACTTAAATCTAAATTTAACATCAGTCTCTCCTTTTTATTCTGTATAGAGAATGACAAGGATACACTGTTGTCAAATTTAAGTTTAGGTTAAGAGAATCATCTCAGAATTGACACCATTGTAATATTAACGACAGTGTAATATGCCCCGTAGGTTCAGTTGTATGTAAAGTTACCAAACTACAGAATGGGGCATATATTATACAGTATAATAATGCTCTGCCATATTGCTATAACTTGTGATATTGCGCAATACCAGTATCACAATAACATTAAACAATATATGATAATGGTATCGATTCTGGCATGATTCTCTAAAGCTAAACTTAAATTTGACAACAGTATATCCCTGTCATTCACTATACAGAATGAAAAGGACAGACTGATCTTAAATTTAGTTTTAAGTTTAGAGAATCTTGCCGGAATCAACACCAATATACCCCAGTACTTTTGTTGCTGAAAAAGGGGTATCTAGATGTTAAACTGAATTATTTAAAAAATATACAAAACATTACTATAATTCTTTATTTCTGTGTTTCTTTTTTTTCTTAGGAAGAACTTCTTCCTCTGTGTTTTGAAATAATTCAACACTTTCTTTACATTTTGATTTCTTCTTTTTGCACTTGACATTTTTACTATACTCATGGTGAGTTTCTAGATTTCTTTTAGACTTTTTACCAGTTTCAGAATTTATATTTATGTCCTGTTCTTGACTTGTAGTATCATTTTCTTCAATGGATAGCTTCAATGGATGGTCTTGCCCTTGTATTGGTAAATCTCTATTTTTTCTTTTAGACTTTTTTTTCTTTTTCTTCACCAACTGTGCTTGGTCTTCACTGTCAACATTTGTTATACCATTTTCATAATTGATTTGAATAACTGGCTTATCATAAAATGAAAAACCTTTTTGGACACTATCATCAAGCTCATTTTCTTCAGATGTTGAAAACCCTTTAAAAACATAATCAGTATCCTCAGACTGATTCTCAGGTTTGAGATCTATCACTTTAGCCTTTGATTGAAATGCTGCCATTTTTTGCTTAAAATAATCCTCCATACTGCCTTTGTCACTAAATTTCTGTTCACTTTCGATTACCTCTTCATTTTTGGGTTTTTCTTCAGGTTCAGTACCTTTGTTTTTAAGGCTTTTCTTTCCAAAAATATTAGCTAAGTCTTTTTCACTATAACGAGTCAAATCCTTCCCTCGTGTAAACTTATGATAATGTACTCGGGCCTTACTCTTTTTAGATTTATCTTCTAGTGAGACACCACTGTGTAGTTTCTTATCATCACTACTAGCTGTAACAAAGATAAGTATTCATCTAAATTATGTTTGTTTAATATTTAAAAGTATGTTGGTATAAGTATGAAAATAAGACAATGTAGATTAGTATAGAACTAAGTTTGTAAGTTATTTGATGGCAATTCTACGTTTTATGTATTTCTTTTCATAAACACTAATAAACCCCAAGTTTATTGTTAACATGCATAAATAGTAGTTTTTTTTATAAATAAATACATGGGTGTTTTCAACACAAATGAATGCCTTACCATTTGATAAATTTGACAGCAAGGAATTAAAATCATCTTCGTGTTTGGTCCATTGATCATTTCTGTCTTCAAAACCGAGTCCTTTTTCATCGTTCTTGTATCTAGCGACAACATGTTCCACAATTCCATCTTCATTCGCTCCTAACCCCTTGCCCGTACTCCACCCCATTTTCTCTAACATTCGCTGACCAAACTTATTTGTGTCATTGCTCCAAGCATTATTTTTTGCACGCAGATTTATTACTTTTTGTTTGCGCCGTGGCGCAGCTAACATAGCCATATTAAAATAAAAATTCACACATTACTCGTGCACGCTTCTGAAATGGACGATTTGACAAATGTCATAAAAGACAAACAATAGCACCAACCGTGCGAACGAGAGAAGTGAAGTTCGTCCGCAACGCTCTCTTTGGATACGTAGCGCGCGTAGGTTGGCAGCATTGGTACGTCGTTCCTTTACAAGCAAAGTAATAGAGCGCCAAAACACTGAATAAGAAATGAGAATAGGTTTTTTTTTTCGAGGAAATAATCTCCATAGCCATAATTTCGTGTGTATGTTGAATATCGTTGCTTTAGTAAACATCTTAAACAAATAAAAGTTAAGGTTGGCCCTCCATTTATTACAAAATAAAAATGGACCTCGGATTTCGCTATATGTACGGTAAATTACATTTTTTAACAAGTATTTTTCGTATTTTAATCATCGTCCTATAAAAATGGATCAATTTTCGGCGTGAACTAGCCCACTAGCTTGCCTTGCCTAATCTCTTTGTTTAAAATGGTTGTTTAGTCGAATCGATTAAAGCATGCGATACGCCTAGATATTGCGTCACGATTTCGAACGCGCGTGATGGATGGATGACTGTCTTTCACGCCACCACGGGTATTCGAATTCTGAGAATAAATACCAAATTTTTACATAGTAGATGGGTAGAAAGTTCAATACCACCAAGCCACAATTTTTATGTATAGACAGCATTGCGTACACTCGCGTTGCGTGGGCTTTGCGCGTTCTGCTGAAACAAAAACCGGACAAGAGCGAGTCGGAATCACCCACTGAGGGTACTGTACTTTTTAGGTACGTAACATACATAGCCCAATCTCTTTTTCCCGTTTACTTAGAAATTCGATTTTCTACGACCCCAATGTTATACCTCCCATTGTAGCCAGACGTAACCTAACTCTATGAGATGTCTGACTGATGCAAAATAAGATAGATTTGACTAATGAGCCCGCTAAAATTTACTCAGATCCATGAGTTCATGAATCTGAGTAACTTTTAATATAAAACTTTTTAATTATATATGTACAGAAATAAATAATATTTAAATACAAATTTCCTAAACCTATTTATAAATAACATCCTATTTACAAAATAAAAAATAAGTCACCCCCATCGCCGCCGTCAGGGATGGTGCCCAATAGGTTGGCAGCATTGCCACGTTGAATGGCAAGGCTGATCCGTTGACCAAGATAGCTGCCAGCCTTTTGATCACCAGTAACTTCGGTGAGTCTCTTTGATATTTCCCTAAAAAAGGAACGAGCACTTGGACCCCATGGGCCCATGGTCTCAACACCAAACGGCACAAATATATAGTTCTCATTGAGAGCTGAATATTTGCGCCGTTTAGAGCATTCAGCAGAGTCCGCCGCCGCACCCGCAGCAAGGGAGGTGCTCTCTGTGTGGCACGGAGCAAGCGTATCCGCGCAAGTTGCGTCCCACACAAGAGGGCGACCCTGCTTTCACGGAATGAGCGTCATTCCGTCAGGTCTCTTGCCATCGTCACGAAAGATGCCGCTAGGCTCAAGGACCGCTGGCACGTTGACTGCGACAAGAGCTCTGCGGATGACGTCATTGATGCAGGCGTGGCGGGAGACTCGGCCAGCGCTCATTTGGCATGAAAGACCATGGTGACCCAACTCACCGACGCGAGCACCGCAACGACAACGGTGGGGATGATTCGTCTTGACACCAAGTCGAAGCGATATTGCCAGAGACAGAGTGCTCTTGTCAAGCAAAGTCCCGATACTGGCTGAAGGTAAAGCTTGCAGCCAGTAGCCAGACTCTGCCTGAAAGACCGCTAGTAGTCGAGCACGCTCAGTGGCGTTTTCAGAAGAAGCTAAAAGATCACTCTGAAAACGCAAACAGAGCGGCTCGTCCCACTGTCTCTGAGAAGATAGAGAGGTTGGTGGATCCACTCCCGGGCATGCCCTAGACCAAGCGTTTCTAGCCTCTGCAAGGTGAGCCAACTCCATTACACCCAAAGACGGGTATAGTATTTTACTAAAGAGCTCGGCTGTACCATATGCAGAAGATAGAAAAGCGGGAAGGGCAATATGGGAAATATGACGAGTACCTAGACCTCCGAAACGAACAGGGAGAGAGGCCTGCTTCCAAGCGTTATCTGAAAATGAACAGTTTAAAATTTTGGAGAGTGTCTCTCTGAGCGAATTGTCAATAATTGCCAGCTGTCCTGGAAAAAGCCAAAAATGAGTGCTTCGTAAAAAATATATAAATTTTGGGGCGAACGCACAAAAACGAATTAAATATAAAGCCATGTGCGGGTTAATTTTCAACATTTTTTCGGAGGAATGCTGGAATTTAGAAATTTGTTCATTAATAAAAATAGGAGTAGCATCATCAAAAATCGGGGAACCTAAGAGACGGAGTGATTTATTGGTGTCGATTCTAGCATGATTCTCTAAACCTAAACTTAAATTTGACAGCAGTATATCCTTGTCATTCTCTATACAGAATGAAAAGGAGAGACTGATGTCTAATTTAGTTTTAAGTTTAGAGAATCACGCCAGAATTGGCACCATTATCAAGAATTTTGCTATTAGGAGCTAAAGCCGAAAATTTTGTGACAATATGTTTTAACTGTTCAGGTGAAAATTTTGATTCTGGAATAAATAGCTCACATTTTGGAAAATTTAAATCAAGGCCAATACTTTTGAATTTATCGATAATGACGTGAAAATCTGAGAGAACCGTTGAAATATCGCCAGCGATAGTTCCGTCGTCAAGGTACCATACATTAAATTTAGAATTTAGCGAATCAATAATGGGTTGTATAGCCAAACTAAAAATAGCGGGCCCAAGAGGATCGCCTTGCTGGCAGCCAACTGATGAATACAAAAGGCTGTTTTTGAAAATTAATTTAGTAGGTTTGCTGTAACATTGCCAAAGATAGTTATAAATAGAAGGAATTTTTTGTTGAATTACTGATAGCAAGGCACCTCTATCTACGGAGTTGAAGGCGTTCTTGACATCCACCTTCAGCACCACCTCCGCTGCGTCGAGCGACAGGAAGGTGCGAAGAGCGTGCACAGCTACTTCACAACCTCCCTTGACACCAAAACCAAGCTGAACCGTTTGGAATTCAGCTGAAACTGTCGGTAAAATGTGTTGACAACAAATTTTGGATGCTAAACGGCGAAAGGTGGAGCCAACAGCTATAGGGCGAATACCACCATCTTTTTTCTTTAAGGCAATTAAGTTGGCAATTAAATTAAGTTGTTACTTTTAATTATTTTAATAGTTATTAGAATAATCATGGAAAATGCATCTATGTTTCGAGAATGAGCTTTCTAGCATATTATAGAAAGAGTGCCTTTCTACTAGATCAGCTTTTCTGCCTTGCACAGATGCTCCTCTCCTTTTCAACTCTGTTTTCTACTACAGACTACAGCTACAGACTAAGTTGAATACATTTTCACCACTTATTTAATATTTTTAACAACAAAAAAACACGTTTAAAATTTGACAGCGGCAACATTTGGCTGTGGTTTGGGTCAAGCGTTTGCAGCGCCATCTATATCGAGCTTTGCGTATACTTCTCCATAGAAGAGCTAGATTCTGATTGATGTTTTTTCTCAGTCTTAATAAATAAATATTATTAAAAATCGGTGTTCTTTTGCTCAGTCTTAGTAAATAAATGTTGCGCTGCCTTGCAGCTTAAGGCTAGGAAAATTTCGACGCGGCTAATAGGGCCGTGGTAGCATAATGGTCAGTGCATTCGCCCGGATAGCGAAGGATGCGGGTTCGAGTCCCGTCCGCTGCCTGGTCCGCGTGGATTTTTTTCTAGTAAACCTTTCTTTAAATAAATGTTATTAAAAAAAACTGATGCTTTTTGTCACTTAATCTTAGTAAATAGTTTTATTAAATAAAATCTTTTTTTTGCTCACTCTACCTATTCGTTTGAATTGATAGCTATGACATCACAATATGGCGCCCAGTCGGTCCTATTCTTAGTTGAATCGCATTATATAACTGCATCGAGTAGCACACAATGTATTAAAAGTACCGCGTCCATAAAGTCAAATCATAATTTTGCACGAGAAAGTAAAACAGCTGCTGGCATTTTGTTTCCCTTTTGTTCAGTTCATTACCGAAATGGTACTCCATAATTACATTATTATTATTCTCGGTTCGTTCAAATCCGCCAGGTGCATTTACGATTTACCGACTAAAATATATTTTAAGTTGATACAAAGCCATTTGTGTTTAGCAGGGAGATCATCAAAATAAAAAATCATTTATTCAGTCTAGGCTGTTACAAGCACAGGTCAAGAAGCTACGCCATCGGTTCGCAAAACTACGGCGGGAGACCTTGTACTGAGAGGAACCAGCAAGAAACTCAGCAAGGGCTGTTTTTTCTCCTTGTATTGTTATAAACAGAGTCGTCAAGTTAAAAAAAAAGGCCAAGTGCGAGTCGAACTCGCGTACCAACTAAAAATTTATTGTTTTCTTAATTTTCCCTTTATCTGTACTATAAGACGATACTTCGTACCAAATTTCAAGATTCTAAGTTCACGGGAAGTACCCTGTAGGTTTTGATTCCCGTGCGAGTTTAGAAAATACGGCATAAGCGGCTGTATCTTTTGATTGCTTTGGCTTAGAAGTTTGATTTTTTTTACAGCTCCAAGGGACCAGTAGACATGAGTATTAGACATGAATTACAGTTTGATACTACCACACGCTCTTGAGAAAAACGTCTTGACAGACGGACGGACGGACAACAAAGTGATCCTATAAGGGTTCCGTTTTTCCTTTTGAGGTACGGAACCCTAAAAATGACTTCAGAGATACTTCTGAAGTCACCTCTCAGTCTCAGTCAGTCTCATGATAATGATAGCGATTTCAAATATATCAGTCGGTAAAACTATTTTTTCATTTTCAGTTTTTTAGAAGTCGGTTCTATTTAAAAAAAAAATCTCTTCCAATCGATCCACGCGGGTGAAACCGTGGAACACTGTTAGTATGTAAAATACAAAATCTTCCCTGACCAATACGCATATATCCCGAAAACCCCATCCAAATCGGATCAGTAGTTTTTGAGTTAATCGCGGACAAACATGTTGAAAACCCTTCATCACATTCAGGTACATTAAACATACAGGTGAAACTAGGAACTACTCAAGTCTGTTAGAAA